ATACCCAAAATTGTTTTGCCATCAAACCGTAATAAAAGTCATAACTTCAATACCAGTGCCATGATGCACCTGTCTGTTGGGTCACGACTACATTTTACCCTTGGAACTATTTTACACGACATGAGACGTTGTTCCAGAAGTGTATGCATGCTCCGATTATATTCGGCTGATTTTCAGGGTTTAAAAATGGAATTATATCTGATCGTTATGTGGCATAAATTTTATTTCTCAAACCTTATACTATTCTTAGCCTTTACCTTATCTTCACCGAAGGAATCAGGTGTAATCACATGAATACCTGAAATCACACTTTTCATTTTGCGGTCAAAGGGAGATAATCGGATGGATTAAGAGTTATGTCCCTTCAAAAGGCCGACTGGTGTCCTGTCCTGATAAAAGCGGTCAGGTTTTCTTCAGCTGTCGACAGAAAACCAGTTTATCAGACACTCCAAACAGGGTCTCACAGAACAAACTCCTTTCATTGCATGCTACGTGTCAGAGTCCTTTAAAAGCTCCAAACAGTGTATAGTTATCGAAACTCTGTACACTGTGTGCTACCTACATCAAGGGGAAATAACTCTTACATGCGTGTCGCAGTTATCTCCCTTGGATATTCGTGGCACGCAATGTGAAGAGCCGCTTGTTTGGAGCTTACCTAATAAAGGGACATAACTGTGCCTGCATTAAACTGGTTTCCCGTCATCTTGCCGCAACTATACCCAACAGACAACGAATACCAGTTTTAACAGTTTTTCATGGTTGCCTCCCTTTGACCGCGAACGAAGCCCAAACGAACAGTGCTTGATTCGTTTCTCAATGTTATCACTTAAGCCCACTCGGTTTAGGGCCAGTGGCATTGTAGACTTGTGGTAACCGTGTCCTATCCATTCCATCCCTTCCTTCCAAAGAAACACTGGGGAAAAACAATGTGCGTTGTCTTTTGAAAGGAAATGACCGAACATACCTGAAGATCGTTTGTGGTTATCTCCCTTTGACCGCAACTCGACGTGCTCATCCTGTTATTAAAAAAAAACACGAAGTGCATATTGAAAAATGTGATCATGTTTGTTGTCTCCATGTTAACAAAACCATCAAAATGCAAACGTGGGTACTTTCAAAAGTTTAAGAAGAAATGAATGTGAAAAATGCCCAGTTCTATTCAAACCAGTGGTCCAGCCTACAAATCTCTAGCCGCGAATAGCTGCAACACTGCTGATGCGGCGTTAAGCAATATTCACTCACTCACTCACTCCTACAAATCTGTGAACGTGTGATACACCTCGTGCTTATTTCCCCCAAAAGGGTTATAAACATTTGAGCTTGCGATATGCATTATGCGTGTTCCCGAGTTAAATGCATACCCCTTGATCTGATTTCCGAGTAATTCAAATATCTGAGCGGGTATGTCTTGCACAGGTTCACCGGGTAATATTAATTCTGTGAACGTGTGGTTTATTTTTACTGTAACATGCATATAAGAACATGTGTAATAATTAACGTGTAAGAAAATGTGATCATTTCCTTTACCGTGATTACCATCGTATCCAACAACGGTAACATTCATATTACAATCGTATCCTACCAGCGTAACATTCACATTAATTACCATCGTATCCAGTCACGGTAACATTCACATTACCATCTTATCCAGTCACGGTAACATTTACATAACCATCGTATCCAACAAAGGTAGCATTCACATTACCACCGTATCCAACAACGGTAACATTCACATCACCATAGTATCCAACAACGGTAGCATTCACAATACCATAGTATCCAGTCAGAGTAGCATTCACGTTACCATCGTATCCAACAACGGTAGCATTCACGTTACGATCGTATCCAACAACAGGAGCATTCACGGTAACATTCACAATACATAGTATCCAGTCACGGTAACATTCACATCACCATAGTATCCAACGATAGCATTCACATTACCATAGTATCCAACAACGGTAGCATTCACGTTACCATCGTATCCAGTCAGAGTAGCATTCACGTTACCATCGTATCCAACAACGGGAGCATTCACATTACCATAGTACTCAGTCACGGTAACATTCACATAACCATAGTATCCAACAATGGTAGCATTCACATTACCATCGTATCCAGTCACGGTAGCATTCACGTTACGATCGTATCCAACAACGGTAGCATTCACGTTACCATCGTATCCAACAACGGTAGCATTCACGTTACGATCGTATCCAACAACGGTAACATTCACATTACCATAGTATCCAGTCACGGTAACATTCACATTACCATAGTATCCAGTCACGGTAGCATTCACGTTACGATCGTATCCAACAACGGTAGCATTCACGTTACCATCGTATCCAACAACGGTAGCATTCACATTACCATAGTATCCAACAACGGTAGCATTCACATTACCATAGTATCCAACAACGGTAGCATTCACGTTACCATCGTATCCAACAACGGTAGCATTCACATTACCATTACCATTCACGTGTATCCAACAACGGTAGCATTCACGTTACCATCGTATCCAACAACGGTAGCATTCACGTTACCATAGTATCCAGTCAACGGTAGTATCCAACAACGGTAGCATTCACATTACCATCGTATCCAACAACGGTAGCATTCACGTTACCATCGTATCCAACAACGGTAGCATTCACATTACCATAGTATCCAACAACGGTAGCATTCACGTTACCATAGTATCCAACAACGGTAGCATTCACATTACCATAGTATCCAACAACGGTAGCATTCACGTTACCATCGTATCCAACAACGGTAGCATTCACGTTACCATCAGTATCCAACAACGGTAACATTCACGTTACCATAGTATCCAGTCACGGTAACATTCACATTGCCATCGTATCCAACAACGGTAGCATTCACGTTACCATAGCATCCAACAACGGTAGCATTCACGTTACCATAGTATCCAACAACGGTAGCATTCACATTACCATCGTATCCAACAACGGTAGCATTCACGTTACCATAGTATCCAACAACGGTAGCATTCACATTACCATCGTATCCAACAACGGTAGCATTCACGTTACCATCGTATCCAACAACGGTAGCATTCACGTTACCATAGTATCCATCGGTATTCACGTTACCATTAATATAACATAATCGTATCCAACAACGGTAGCATTCACGTTACCATCGTAGCCAACAACGGTAGCATTCACGTTACCATAGTATCCAACAACGGTAGCATTCACGTTACCATAGTATCCAACAACGGTAGCATTCACATTACCATAGTATCCAGTCACGGTAACATTCACATTACCATCGTATCCAACAACGGTAGCATTCACGTTACCATAGTATCAACGGTAGCATTCACATTACCATAGTATCCAACAACGGTAACGTTACCATTCAAGTATCACATTACCATCGTATCCAACAACGGTAGCATTCACGTTACCATCGTATCCAGTCACGGTAACATTCACGTTACCATCGTATCCAACAACGGTAGCATTCACGTTACCATCGTAGCCAACAACGGTAGCATTCACGTTACCATCGTAGCCAACAACGGTAGCATTCACGTTACCATCGTATCCAGTCACGGTAACATTCACATTACCATCGTATCCAACAACGGTAGCATTCACGTTATCACGTTACCATCGTAGCCAACAACGTAGCCAACAACGGTAGCATTCACGTTACCATCGTATCCAACAACAACGGTAGCATTCACATTACCATAGTATCCAACAACGGTAGTTCACGGTAACATTCACATTACCATCGTATCCAACAACGGTAGCATTCACGTTACCATCGTATCCAACAACGGTAGCATTCACGTTACCATCGTATCCAACAACGGTAGCATTCACGTTACCATAGTATCCAACAACGGTAGCATTCACATTACCATAGTATCCAACAACGGTAGCATTCACGTTACCATAGTATCCAACAACGGTAGCATTCACGTTACCATAGTATCCAACAACGGTAGCATTCACGTTACCATAGTATCCAACAACGGTATCCCATAGTATCCACAACGGTAGCATTCACGTTACCATAGTATCCAACAACGGTAGCATTCACGTTACCATAGTATCCAACAACGGTAGCATTCACGTTACCATAGTATCCAACAACGGTAGCATTCATTCATTACCATAGTATCCAACAACGGTAGCATTCACGTTACCATAGTATCCAACAACGGTAGCATTCACATTACCATAGTATCCAACAACGGTAGCATTCACATTACCATAGTATCCTACAACGGTAGCATTCACGTACGTCATCACATCCTACCACGGTAACATACACAATACCATCGCATCCTAAAAAGGACAACATTCACGTTACTATCTTATTCTACCAGGGTAAAATTCACGTACCATCTGGGGTATCCCACCAAGATAAAATTCACAGGATTTTAAAAAAAACAGGCAGTGTTTATGGTTAGACTAGTTGGTGTGCTACACTAGAATCTCATGAGCTGCCTACCACAGAGAGATCAACCAATTCTCCATCACCTGCTATTTGTATCATATTACTGCACGGTATTTAAACTGCAGACAACAATCAAACATTTTTCACTTCACATCGCCCTTGCACAGACTTCAGCCATTATCGAAATACAACCACGTCTTTCATTTCAATAACGGTACAGTACTATTTATAGCATAGACTGCAAAAACAAGTAATCTCTAAGATACTCAAACAACGAACAAGAGTTTGTACTGGAGCTCAGTAATTTTTCAGCTATTTCATAACTCAACTATTCCCAAAAACATTTCCTTGTGATGGACCAGGGAGAATAGAAGACGTAGATTAATTATCCCTGGATAGACCCATGCTGAAAATAGGTAATGCAGTTTTAATCTATCATGAGGTGTGTTCACGGTTTAGTGGTAACTCATATTGTAATATTTTATATTACAACGCTGTAACATTCGTACTACCGGTAGTAGGATCTTTTACCGGAAGTAGTGTTAGCTTCCGACCAAAATAAATATGGCGGACGAAGAACAAAATAAAGAGTTTACGTCGACTAAAGTCGAACAGAATCTAAGGGTGATTTCCGACCAGACTACTAAGCTGTCAAAGGTAAATGTAGGGCACCCTGAACAAACGGCTGTAATTTAATTACAAGATTGTAGGGTAATACGCCCCTTGCCTTGGATGAATGTATGATAATCTATGCAGTTTTGCAGATGACGATATCGCAAGCGTACGAGTGACAACATTTTGTAGGTTCCCGTAAACCCTCCCAATGATCGTGCACATGTTTAGTTCAGCGTCGGAAAATTCATTATCGTTGTATATCAATGATAGACTTCAGCATAAGTAAATTTCGATTTGTTTACACCTTACGCTCTATTTATTACATTATGTGACATGTCATCTGCCACACCCCTTTCACTAACCTATTTGGGCCCGCCTATTTCAAGTTTATTCAGGATTGCAGATCGACAACGCAGAACATTTTATATACCATAACTATAGTGACGTGACACGACACAAAAAGGTCGCCAAGTAGCTGTTGAAATGTCTTATTTGCATCAGTGTGAGTAAACAAGAACGCTTTATAAATGGTACTCTTTACAGTCTTTTGTAACTTGTAATGACAGATAGGTAAATAAGTCGCCTGTGTTATATTGTCCCAAAAGGCATCACAGGTAGTGAAAAGGGTAACAGATATTGCACAAGTTCATGATGAAATAATTGAAAATGATAGTTACAGATTTGTATGTTGTCTGGTCAAACAGGTCAAAATATGTAATCGAAGAACACAGCACAGATATTTTTTTCATTTCATCACATTCTCTTGTATATGCTCTTGTATATGTTGTCCTCTTGTGGGAGGACTCAACTAAGTCATATCTTTGAAGTCATTTGGATATGTTTCAGTATGGACATGGTGGTGGTAACAAGTTACAGAAATGGTGACAAAAACACTGAACTAATACATTTCTCAACAACATCATGATTTCTTGCTGAACTGTTTGTTGTTCATGGTTGCATTCCTTTAGTTTGCAAGGATTCAGTGATCCTGGGTTGATTCACACAGATTATGACAATTGTTTGTTAACAATAGCCATACTGTTATTTAAGTTTATTCAGTGATCCTGGAATAATTGTTGTTCACACAGATTATGACAATTGGTTTGTTAACATCATAGCCATACTTCCAAAGGGATGTATGTCACTCACTCACTGACATTTGTTCAAATTGTTGTTAATCTGCAGCCCAACTTGCTACAATGGCTGGAGATTACAGTGTCGGAGCCAGAGAAACGAACCAATGCCTCCATGAAGATGCAAGACACATTCATCGTCTACCTCATAGAAACAAGGTACGCACAAATTTGATAACATTTACATTTGGAAAAAAGGCAGATAATAACTTTGTTATCAAATAGGTAATCATATTAGGATCAGTGCCATATGAAGTGTTTAGTGGATTGCCTTCCTAAGCTGAACTGACTCTCATTTAATAGCACTTCTCACAATTTGATACCAGTTGTTCGAACACATACATTTGTTTTTCTGCCTTTGTGTGCACCAGTCAAACAGTTAATGACTGCCTTGATTAAACAGAGACAATGTATCATTATCATGAAGAACACTGGGCACAGCCCATGTGAATATTGCTTAGCTAGAAAAAGACATAACTAGATCATTTAAATACTTTCTTGGGCTCAGAAAAGCTCAGGTGGAAATGTCTGATAATTGTATGCATTTTCTTTGTACCTATTCATGTTGTGATTTCTTTGAGGGATAGATGTTTAGTGGCTTCCAGTTATCAGCTGGTAAACACACAAGTGACAGTCTTGCAGTGGCACTGGTACCATTAAACTAATACAAATTTGTCAATCTTGTCTGTTAGCAATTGTTATGAAATTAAGAAGGGTACATTATTTTTCTTTTAATCTTACTTCCTGTTTTTGTATTGAGGTGTGCTTTTTGTCTTCAAGGGTAATAGATGAGAATATGAAAGGTTATGGAGAGGGTGCAACATCCCTGTGGAGACGATACAGCGAGTTTGAACTGCTCCGTAACTACCTCGACATCACATACCCATCGGTTGTTGTGCCACCGCTGCCTGAGAAAAAAGTAAGTATCTTTATTACCTACAAAGGCGAAAATATGGGGGTTGATATTTTCATACGATGCCCTAGGGCAAAATATCACTTAGTCATGGTGACGTGACGTCATGAACAATGCTATGATGTCATGTTTCTTCTGTGAAGTTGCGTTCTACATGCGGCGACAGCAGGTAGCCAGCCTATGTTTGAAAGTAGAGTTGGGTTTATTTTCCTCAATTTGACGACTTCGGTAATAAACAGAATAATATTTTCGTGCCCATATCATACTATGTTTATGACACTCGTGCTGAAATATCGGTATATCCCTCGCTCTCACTCAGGAAATACCAACATTTAGGCACTCGTGTCGTAAACATAGGATGACATGGTCACTCATATAATATCCTCTATGTACTCACTCATACATAAGTTAGTTCAACTGGACAAAGGGTGTACACAAAAAGGCTGTGTTATCCTTTGTACATGTGCCACTGTAACAGTTTTGTTTCAACTTGGACATGTATTGATGGAGTTTGAACAGGTTATATGAGCCTATAATCCATCATGAAAGACATTCAGTAACCAGGTTGGTCTTTTATAAGTAGGACAAAGGTGACAAGCTTTGTTCTATAAATTAGGTTATGCTCATATACTTGGTATCAAAAGACACTGAATTTAGATTCACAATATGTCTCATCATTTACCATGTTTTTAGCCAATATTTTAGCTTATATTTTGATGAACTATAGCATGCCATAAAATGACATTAATATTATCTTAACCTTATTTAACCCAGCTGTAAGCATTGTGAGCCTTTGTTACAGGCCTCGTACACCTGGCAGAATGCTTCAACGGACAAGTTTGACCCCGACTTTATAGAGAGAAGGCGGCAGGCTCTAGAGGTAAGCTGCAGATCACATGCAGACAACATGGACCGTCAAACTGACATCAGATTTCTATGAGTCTAATTTCTTTAAGGTGCTACCGGTATTTCTAGTTCACATCCCTAAAGTGTAGAGCATAATTCTTGGTATCACTACTAACTCACTAACTGATTCTGAGTTAATTATGATGTAAGTGGGTGGAGTTATTCCACTAGTTGCTGTCAACTTGTAGAATGAACAATTTCTTCCAATCATTGGCTAATTACTTTTTATCTACTCATGGTATTGTTTAATTGTTGTTTGTAAATATCTCCAGATAAATGTATAACTGACTGTGATGCCATGTTTGTTGTCAGGTGTTTCTCCTGAGAGTTGGAGCACACCCCACCCTCTGTCTAGACAAGACCTTCCTGGGGTTCATGCAGAAGGTATAATGCTTACATATCTACAGTCAACAGAGGCAATTCCTTCATGACTGCAGGTTGTAGTTCGTAGGTGTACACTGAAAATGCAAAACAAAATAGGATTCTCCTTTAAAATCTGGTATGAGATAATTAAAGAAGAAGTAATTGTGAAATATGTGGTAAAATGATTAAAGCTGCAGTATTACAGTTTCACAGTAGACGCGCACTGGCTTATGTCGATTATCCATGATCACTGACCTGCTGACCACATGTAAACCTTTAGCCTTATGTTATTGACATCACTCTTACTCTTGTGGTATAAATTCAACTAACATCATTTGTCTTGAATAGCCAGACCACCTCCGTGGTGTAGTGGTTAGAGCGTCCGCCCGGAGAGCGGAAGGTCGCGGGTTTGATCCCAGACCGCGTCATACCAAAAGACGTTAAAATATGGTACTTGTTGGTCCCTGCCTGGCACTCGGCATTAATGGGTACAACAAGGACTGGTCAGCTCGGAGTCAGTATACTATGACTGAGTGGGGTATTCATGCTTCACTGCAGCATGGTATCTCAGTGGGCTAGCACTATAAAACCAGCTTCAGTCTGGGCTAGTACAAGCAGCCACACATACACACGCATGCACGTCGTCATATGAGTGAAATATTCTCAAGCACGACGTTAAACCCAATTTCACCTCACCTCACCTTGAATAGCCAAGGATTTGCTCTCATGCACAGCACAACTCTTGTTGCTATACTTCCTTGTCAAACGTAACCATATTTTTGTCAAAGCTTCCTCTTCATCATTACAGGAAAATGGTTGGAAGGAATCAGTGTACGCCACAGACTTTCAAAGCAAGGTGAGTTTTTTGTCTGCTGTATTGGTGAGTAAGTGGGTATGGTTTTCCTCCATGTTTCACAATATTCCAGCAATATCTAGGCGGGGAACACCAGAAATGGACTTCACACATTGTAGCAATGTGGAGAATCAAAACTGGTCCTTGGGGGTGACAAATGGACATTTTAATCCCCTAAGGCTACCCCAAGGTGCTCTGCCATATAGGGCATGACAAATTTGTCACATAGTCAAGTAGCTTTGCTAAAAGAAACTGGGATAGCCTAATTATCTGATGATGAACATAAGAATTCTCAAGACAGGATACCATAGTAACAGTTGCAGTGGAATAAGGGGTGTGTGCTGCCATGAAGGAGTCAGTTGTAATTGACATTGTTACTTTTAGATTACAATGGACTAACTTTCAACGTATCTGTTCAAATCCCAGTGTAGAACAGACTTCGGTCTTTCATTTATTGTCTGGCTTCAACACTGTCATGACTAGCACAATTAGAGACACAGACACACAAGTGCTTGTTGTATTATGATCATAAGAGTTTAGAAATTTTCAAATAAGTCACATTTTACTAGGGCTGTAACGATGCATCAAACTATCGATGGATTGCAATTGTTGAGTCTCCGATAGCAATTGATCGATGGTAGAAACGAAAAAACTATCGATGCATCGATAGTATGTGTGACTATCGATACTTTAGTAATTGACATCCGTTGATAAATATGCAGGGCAAAATACAGGAAGGTCCAGATTCGTTTACTTTATTTAGAGTTATCCACCCCTGTTACCTCTTAAACAAACTTGATCTGGGTTTCAAGTGTCTTTTCAGTATCAAAAGAGACTGAAACTACTTCAGCTTGTTTTTATGTCCCATAAACTATACATTCATTTGGGAAACGACTTCAAATGAGACAAACCAAGGAGAAAAAAAGTATTGCAATAGTATTGCAATAGCTGGTTGCAATGGACTATCGCTATCGCAATAGTATGTTGCAATAGATTTTCGCTGTCACAATAGTTGTTTCTCCCTCAATAGTCGTCCCTACATTTTACCTCACCACAAGCTCTTCACCTTAGGTTGTAATTAGCTGGGATAGCAACATCTTCTTCCCCAAAGGTACATCAGTATCACAACTAACTCTGTTTGTATGTTGGTTTCCAGGCAGATTCTCGACTGAAGGCACTGAGTGCCTCATTTCGTCTCAAGAAACCTGACAGGTAGATATTGCCATTGTCCTCTCAAGTTGTATGGTCCCAGCGATGTAAGGTGCCCTTTCTGGAAAAAGGGTAATTTCAGGAATCTTGGTCCAAGAGTTGTTCCATGCCACTGCCAAGTAGCATTGGTTCAAGTGACATTTGTTTTAGTTTCCATTTATAATTCATGTGACATCTTATCTTGTTGCAGGCGGTTTGAGGAGTTAAAGAACTACAGCAATGAACTACAGAACAACATATCAAACATACTTCGAATCAGAGCTGTAAGTCAATACTTCTGCATGCTTCTTAGAGATTATGTCACTATTATTTATGACAATTAAACCTGATTCGGAAGTAATCATTTCTCTGTGGATGTCCATACCATTCTCTGTTCTTGAAACACTTCAATCACAAGTATGATGAAATAGAGGATGTAGGTCTGTCCCATGGACAACCATGATATTTTGAAATTGCTTTCAAAGGTAATTCATATAATTATTTATCAATTTTGAATTCTTGGATGCTATATTAGCAATGGCTAGGTTTCTATATGCATGCTTTCGAATATGAATGAATGCAGCCTAGGTTACCTAACATTTAACTGGCTGAATTTCATGTAATTTCAGTAGATATAACCAGATTTGTATAAACTAAATTTCAGCTTTATCATGTTTGTACTGTGAAGTGCATAACCAATTTAATATGATCAGAACCAATGGTTTTTCCAGAATATGAGTCCTCAGCAATCTATACTTGTTGTTACACACGATCAGATGGTCAGACTAAGTGACATGGTCCATTACATGTCATCTATGTATCCCAGTTGCTTGGTCCATAACATGTCATCTATGTATCCCAGTTGCTTGGTCCATTACATATCATCTATGTATCCCAGTTGCTTGGTCCATTACATGTCATGTATGTATCCCAGTTGCTTGGTCCATTACATGTCATCTATGTATCCCAGTTGCTTGGTCCATAACATGTCATGTATGTATCCCAGTTGCTTGGTCCATTACATATCATCTATGTATCCCAGTTGCTTGGTCCATAACATGTCATCTATGTATCCCAGTTGCTTGGTCCATTACATATCATCTATGTATCCCAGTTGCTTGGTCCATAACATGTCATCTATGTATCCCAGTTGCTTGGTCCATTACATGTCATCTATGTATCCCAGTTGCTTGGTCCATTACATATCATCTATGTATCCCATGTATCCATCTATGTTGCTGCTTGGTCCATTACATGTCATCTATGTATCCCAGTTGCTTGGTCCATTACATGTCATCTATGTATCCCAGTTGCTTTTGGTCCATTACATGTCATCTATGTATCCCAGTTGCTTGGTCCATTACATATCATCTATGTATCATAACATGTCATCTATGTATCCCAGTTGCTTGGTCCATTACATATCATCTTGGTCCATTACATATCATCATGTATCCCAGTTGCTTGGTCCATTACATATGTCATCTATGTATCCCAGTTGCTTGGTCCATTACATATATCCATCCATATGTCATCCCCAGTTGCTTGGTCCATTACATATCATCTATGTCATCCCAGTTGCTTGGTCCATTACATGTCATCTATGTATCCCAGTTGCTTGGTCCATTACATGTCATCTATGTATCCCAGTTGCTTGGTCCATTGTCCATAACATGTCATGTATGTATCCCAGTTGCTTGGTCCATTACATGTCATCTATGTATCCCAGTTGCTTGGTCCATTACATATCATCTATGTATCCCAGTTGCTTTGGTCCATTACATGTCATCTATGTATCCCAGTTGCTTGGTCCATTACATGTCATCTATGTATCCCAGTTGCTTGGTCCATTACATATCATCCATATGTATCCCAGTTGCTTGGTCCATAACATGTCATCTATGTATCCCAGTTGCTTGGTCCATTACATGTCATCTATGTATCCCAGTTGGTCCATCCATTACATGTCATCTATGTATCCCAGTTGCTTGGTCCATTACATGTCATCATGTATCCCAGTTGTATCCATTACAGTATGTATCCCAGTTGGTCCATTACATGTCATCTATGTATCCCAGTTGCTTGGTCCATTACATGTCATCTATGTATCCCAGTTGCTTGGTCCATTACATGTCATCTCCATGTATCCCATATGTATCCCAGTTGCTTGGTCCATTACATGTCATCTATGTATCCCAGTTGCTTGGTCCATAACATTCATCATCTATGTATCCCAGTTGCTTGGTCCATTACATGTCATCTATGTATCCCAGTTGCTTGGTCCATTACATGTCATCTATGTATCCCAGGTCCATTACATGTCATCTCTGTATCCCATTGCATCCATTCCATGTCCTCTATGGTCCATTGTTTTGTCCATCATCTATGTATCCCAGTTGCTTGGTCCATTACATGTCATCTATGTATCCCAGTTGCTTGGTCCATTACATGTCATCTATGTATCCCAGTTGCTTGGTCCATTACATGTCCCATTGTATGTCATCCCAGTTGCTTGGTCCATTACATCATCTATGTATCCCAGTTGCTTGGTCCATTACATATCATCTATGTATCCCAGTTGCTTGGTCCATTACATATCATCTATGTATCCCACGCTTCTTGGTCCATTACATGTCATCTATGTATCCCAGTTGCTTGGTCCATAACATGGTCCATGTACATGTGTCCATGTATCCCAGTTGCTTGGTCCATTACATGTCATCTATGTATCCCAGTTGCTTGGTCCATAACATGTCATCTATGTATCCCAGTTGCTTGGTCCATTACATGTCATCTATGTATCCCAGTTGCTTGGTCCATTACATGTGTATCCCAGTTGCTTGGTCATATCATCTATGTATCCCAGTTGCTTGGTCCATTACATGTCATCTATGTATCCCATTACATATCATCTATGTATCCAGTTGCTTTGGTCCATTACATGTCATGTATGTATCCCAGTTGCTTGGTCCATTACATGTCATCTATGTATCCCAGTTGCTTGGTCCATTACATGTCATCTATGTATCCCAGTTGCTTGGTCCATTACATGTCATCTATGTATCCCAGTTGCTTGGTCCATTACATGTCATCTATGTATCCCAGTTGCTATGGTCCATTACATGTCATCTTGGTCCAGTTGCTTGGTCCATTACATGTCATCTATGTATCCCAGTTGCTTGGTCCATTACATGTCATCTATGTATCCCAGTTGCTTGGTCCATAACATGTCATCTATGTATCCCAGTTGCTTGGTCCATTACATGTCATGTCATCTATGTTCCATCCCAGTTGCTTGGTCCATTACATGTCATCTATGTATCCCAGTTGCTTGGTCCATTACATGTCATCTATGTATCCCAGTTGCTTGGTCCATTACATGTCATGCTTGGTCCATTACATATCCCTAGTTCCTAGTTCTTGGTCCATTACATATCATCTATGTATCCCAGTTGCTTGGTCCATTACATGTCATCTATGTATCCCCGTTGCTTGGTCCATTACATGTCATCTATGTATCCCAGTGCTTGTTCCTTGGTCCATGTATCCCATTGCTTGGTCCATTACATATCATCTATGTATCCCAGTTGCTTGGTCCATTACATCATCATGTTGCTTGGTCCATGTCATCTATGTGTTCCAGTTGCGGTCCATGTGTCACCTATGTGCCCCAGTTGCTTGGTCCATTATGTCATGTATCCCATCATCTATGTATCCCAGTTGCTTGGTCCATTACATGTCATGTATGTATCCCAGTTGCTTGGTCCATTCCATGTCATCTATGTATCCCAGTTGCTTGGTCCATTACATATCATCCAGTATGTCCATCCAGTTGCTTGGTCCATTCCATGTCATCTATGTATCCCCAGTTGCTTGGTCCATTACATGTCTCCAGTTGCTGTATCCCAGTTTGCTTGGTCCATTACATATCATCTGTATCCCAGTCCCATTACATATCATCTATGTATCCCAGTTGCTTGGTCCATTACATGTCATCTATGTATCCCAGTTGCTTGGTCCATTACATGTCATCTATGTATCCCATTTGCTTGGTCCTATAACATGTCATGTCCCAGTTGTGTCCATTCCATGTCATCCTATGTATCCCAGTTGCTTGGTCCATTACATGTCATCTATATGTATCCCAGTTGCTTGGTCCATTACATGTCATCTATGTATCCCAGTTGCTTGGTCCATTACATGTCATGTATGTATCCCAGTTGCTTGGTCCATGTGTCCCATGTCATCTATGTCCCAGTTGCTTGGTCCATTATGTCATCTATGTGTCCCGTTCTCCATGTCATCCCCCAGTTGCTTGGTCCATTACATATCATCTATGTATCCCAGTTGCTTGGTCCATTACATGTCATGTGTCCCAGTTGCTTGGTCCATTCATCTCATGTATGTATCCCAGTTGTGCTTGGTCCATCCATCTATGTATCCCAGTTGTTGGTCCATCACCTATGTATGTCCGGTTGGTTGGTCCATTACATATCTATGTGTCCCAGTTGCTTGGTCCATAACATGTCATGTATGTGGTCCCAGTTGCTATGTATCCCATTGTTGGTCCATTACATGTCATCTATGTATCCCAGTTGCTTGGTCCATTACATTCATCTATGTATCCCAGTTGCTTGGTCCATATCATCTATGTGTATCCAGTTGCTTGGTCCATTACATGTCATATATGTATCCGTTGCTTGGTCCATCCCATGTCATCTATGTATCCAGTTGCTGGTCCATGTCATCTATGTCCCAGTTGCCAGTTGCATAACATGTCCATGTATCCCAGTTGCTTGGTCTATAACATCCCAGTTGCTTGGTCCATTACATGTCATGTATGTATCCCAGTTGCTTGGTCCATATCCCAGTCTTGGTCCATCATGTATGTATCCCAGTTGCTTGGTCCATGTCATGTATGTATCCCAGTTGCTGTCATCTATGTATCCCAGTTGCTTGGTCCATTCCATATCATCTATGTATCCCAGTTGCTTGGTCCATAACATGTCATCTATGTATCCCAGTTGCTTGGTCCATAATGTCATCCTATGTATCCTAGTTAAGCTTGTCCATGTGTCATGTGTATCCCAGTTGCTTGGTCCATTACATATCATATCATTCCATGTATCCCATCTTGTTGCTTGGTCCATTACATATCATCTATGTCCCAGTATTCCATCCCAGTTGCTTGGTCCATTACATATCATCTATGTATCCCAGTTGCTTGGTCCATTACATATCATCTATGTATCCCAGTTGCTTGGTCCATTACATATCATCATGTATCCCATCCCCCATTGTGTGTCATCCATGTATCCATTGCTTGGTCCATCATGTCATGTATGTATCCCAGTTGCTTGGTCCATTACATGTCATCTATGTATCCCAGTTGCTTGGTCCATTACATATCATCTATGTATCCCAGTTGCTTGGTCCATTACATATCATCTATGTATCCCAGTTGCTTGGTCCATAACATGTCATCTATGTATCCCAGTTGCTTGGTCCATAACATGTCATCTATGTATCCCAGTTGCTTGGTCCATTACATGTCATCTATGTATCCCAGTTGTTGCTTGTCCATAACATGTCATCTATGTATCCCAGTTGCTTGGTCCATGTCATCTATGTATCCCAGTTGCTTGGTCCATAACATCCCAGTATGTGGTCCATGTATCCCAGTTGCTTGGTCCATAACATATCATCTATGTATCCCAGTTGCTTGGTCCATTGTCATCTATGTATCCCAGTTGCTTGTCCATTACAGCATCATGTATCCCAGTTGCTTGGTCCATTACATATCATGTATGTATGTATCCCAGTTGCTTGGTCCATTACATATCACCTATGTATTCCATGTTGCTTGGTCCATTCCATGTCATCTATGTATCCCAGTTGCTTGGTCCATTACATCATGTCATCTATGTATCCCCCAGTTGCTTGGTCCATTACATGTCATCTATGTATCCCCTCGTTGCTTGGTCCCATCTATGTATCCTTGGTCCATTACATGTCATCTATGTATCCCAGTTGCTTGGTCCATTACATGTCATCTATGTATCCCAGTTGCTTTAATGGTCCATTACATGTCATCTATGTATCCCAGTTGCTTGGTCCATTACATATCATCTATGTATCCCAGTTGCTTGGTCCATTACATATCATCTATGTATCCCCCTGTTGCTTGGTCCATCCCAGTTGTTTTGGTCCATTACATATCATCTATGTATCCCAGTTGCTTGGTCCATTACATGTCATCTATGTATCTAGTTGCTTGGTCCATTACATGTCATCTATGTATCCCTCAGTTGTTTGGTCCATTACATGTCATCTATGTATCCCAGTTGCTTGGTCCATTACATGTCATCTATGTATCCCAGTTGCTTGGTCCATTACATGTCATCTATGTATCCCAGTTGCTTGGTCCATTACATGTCATCTATGTATCCCAGTTGCTTGGTCATCTATGTATCCCAGTTGCTTGGTCCATTACATATCAACTATGTATCCCAGTTGTTGGTCCATAACATGTCATCTATGTATCCCAGTTGCTTGGTCCATTACATATCATCTATGTATCCCAGCTGCTTGGTCCATTACATGTCATCTATGTATCCCAGTTGCTTGGTCCATTACATATCATCTATGTATCCCAGTTGCTTGGTCCATTAACATGTCATCTATGTATCCCAGTTGCTTGGTCCATTACATGTCATCTATGTATCCCAGTTGCTTGTATTAACATGTCATCTATGTATCCCAGTTGCTTGGTCCATTACATATCATCTATGTATCCCAGTTGCTTGGTCCATTACATGTCATCTATGTATCCCAGTTGCTTGGTCCATTACATGTCATCTATGTATCCCCTGTGTGTCCATTACATGTCATGGTCCCTCGCTTGCTACATTACATGTCATCTATGTATCCCAGTTGCTTGGTCCATTACATGTCATGTATCCCATGTATCCATTACATATCATCTATCCTAGTTGCTTGGTCCATTACATGTCATCTATGTATCCCAGTTGCTTGGTCCATTACATGTCATCTATGTATCCCAGTTGTTGCTTGGTCCATTACATGTCATCTATGTATCCCAGTTGCTGTATCCCAGTTGCTTGGTCCATTACATGTCATCTATGTATCCCAGTTGCTTGGTCCATAACATGTCATCTATGTATCCCAGTTGCTTGGTCCATTACATATCATCTATGTATCCCAGTTGCTTGGTCCATTACATGTCATCTATGTATCCCAGTTGCTTGGTCCATTACATGTCATCTATGTATCCCAGTTGCTTGGTCCATTACATGTCATCTATGTATCCCAGTTGCTTGGTCCATTACATGTCATCTATGTATCCCAGTTGCTTGGTCCATTACATATCATCTATGTATCCCAGTTGCTTGGTCCATTACATGTCATCTATGTATCCCAGTTGCTTGGTCCATTACATGTCATCTATGTATCCCAGTTGCTTGGTCCATTACATGTCATCTATGTATCCCAGTTGCTTGGTCCATTACATGTCATCTATGTATCCCAGTTGCTTGGTCCATTACATGTCATCTATGTATCCCAGTTGCTTGGTCCATAACACGTCATCATCTATGTATCCCAGTTGCTTGGTCCATAACATGTCATCTATGTATCCCAGTTGCTTGGTCCATTACATGTCATCTATGTATCCCAGTTGCTTGGTCCATTACATGTCATCTATGTATCCCAGTTGTCCATTACATATCTTGTATCCCCATTACTTGGTCCATCTATGTCTATGTATCCCAGTGTATCCATTACATATCATTGCTTGGTCCATTACATATCATCTATGTATCCCAGTTAGCTTGGTCCATTACATATCATCATCTATGTATCCCATTGTCATGGTCCATTACATGTCATCTATGTATCCCATTAGTTTTTGGTCCATTACATGTCATGTATGTATCCCAGTTGCTTGGTCCATAACATGTCATCTATGTATCCCAGTTGCTTGGTCCATTACATGTCATCTATGTATCCCAGTTGCTTGGTCCATTACATGTCATCTATGTATCCCAGTTGCTTGGTCCATTACATATCATCTATGTATCCCAGTTGCTTGGTCCATTACATGTCATCTATGTATCCCAGTTGCTTGGTCCATTACATATCATCATCTATGTATCCCAGTTGCTTGGTCCATTACATGTCATCTATGTATCCCAGTTGCTTTGGTCCATTACATGTCATCTATGTATCTAGTTGTCCATTACATGTCATGTCATCCCAGTTGCTTGGTCCATTACATGTCATATGTATCTATGTATCCATCTATGTATCCCAGTTGCTTGGTCCATAACATGTCATCTATGTATCCCAGTTGCTTGGTCCATAACATGTCATCTATGTATCCCAGTTGCTTGGTCCATTACATGTCATCTATGTATCCCAGTTGCTTGGTCCATTACATATCATCTATGTATCCCAGTTGCTTGGTCCATTACATGTCATCTATGTATCCCAGTTGCTTGGTCCATAACATGTCATCTATGTATCCCAGTTGCTTGGTCCATTACATATCATCTATGTATCCCAGTTGCTTGGTCCATTACATGTCATCTATGTATCCCAGTTGCTTGGTCCATTACATGTCATCTATGTATCCCAGTTGCTTGGTCCATTACATGTCATCTATGTATCCCAGTTGCTTGGTCCATTACATGTCATCTATGTATCCCCAGTTGCTTGGTCCATTACATATCATCTATGTATCCCAGTTGCTTGGTCCATTACATGTCATCTATGTATCCCAGTTGCTTGGTCCATTACATGTCATCTATGTATCCCAGTTGCTTGGTCCATAACATCCATCTATGTATCCCAGTTGCTTGGTCCATCATCATGTATGTATCCCAGTTGCTTGGTCCATTACATGTCATCTATGTATCCCAGTTGCTTGGTCCATTACATATCATCTATGTATCCCAGTTGCTTGGTCCATAACATGTCATCTATGTATCCCAGTTGCTTGGTCCATTACATGTCATCTATGTATCCCAGTTGCTTGGTCCATTACATGTCATCTATGTATCCCAGTTGCTTGGTCCATAACATGTCATGTATGTATCCCAGTTGCTTGGTCCATTACATGTCATCTATGTATCCCAGTTGCTTGGTCCATTACATGTCATCTATGTATCCCAGTTGCTTGGTCCATTACATATCATCTATGTATCCCAGTTGCTTGGTCCATAACATGTCATCTATGTATCCCAGTTGCTTGGTCCCAGTTGCTTGGTCCATTACATGTCATCTATGTATCCCAGTTGCTTGGTCCATTACATGTCATCTATGTATCCCAGTTGCTTGGTCCATTACATATCATCTATGTATCCCAGTTGCTTGGTCCATAACATGTCATCTATGTATCCCAGTTGCTTGGTCCATTACATGTCATCTATGTATCCCAGTTGCTTGGTCCATCCATTACATGTCATCTATGTATCCCAGTTGCTTGGTCCATTACATGTCATCTATGTATCCCAGTTGCTTGGTCCATAACATGTCATCTATGTATCCCAGTTGCTTGGTCCATTACATGTCATGTATGTATCCCAGTTGCTTGGTCCATTACATATCATCTTAATATCCTAGCTCCACTGATCATTGCCCATGACGTCAGTCACTTGGTTGTCTGGTCCAGACATGATTATTCACAGACCATTGCTGAAATTGTATGTCATTAAATAGTGAACAAAACAGTTATGTATAGATATCTATGTTGAATGTAGATGTCAGACATCTGTATACAGCGCTCTCTCTTTCAGAGAATATGTGATAAGCTGTATGGCATCCACAAAGTGCATGGCAACTATGCCCGGGTGTTCAGTGAGTGGAGTGGGATTGAGAAGGACATCGCGGAGGCCTTGCAGAGCAGCGGACATTACATGGATGTGTGAGTAACACTGTGTCTGTAATCTGTCACTCAGACCACTGAGAAGATCTCTTGCAAAAGTCTAGATGATTGGTCAGATCAAGATTGCTGAAGCTGGAATTAAGAATTGATCTGGGCTGCTTTTGAATGTTATTTATGTATTTGTTTAGATATGTATTTACAAATAAGATAACTTTATTTCTAGGTCAAAATATCTACTATGTCTGAATCAAAGATCAAAATTAATGCATCACCAAATCATGACAAATGTGTACCTATAGCCTACAATGTGTCGAGAATTTGAAATTCAAAAGCTCCTCAAGAAATGACAACATCTGTACACTTAGAATTCCATAATTTGTGATTCAGTGACAGTGTTTAGTGAACTGAGGCATTTATGAACATTGACTAGTGTTACTGTACATGTATTAGATATTTTCACCACCTATTGAGCTGTTATGCAGGAAGATATATCTGAAGGCCTACCACATCCATGTTGTGTGTTGACAGCTATGCATCTTCAGTGGATGCCACACTGGAGGAAGAAGAGCAGTATGCAGATCAACTCAAGGAATACTTGGCATTTGGAGAGGCTCTCCGGTAGGTATTTTAACTTCTCTACAATAACTTCCATAAAAATCTTATTCAACAGTTTGGTCTCATAAATTAGATAGCTTTGCCAGTAAATGGTAATAGACTGTGAAGATATAAGCAGAGGGCCTGATTGAAAGGCAGATTAAGAAAACTGTCAGGTTGAGATTAATTTCTGCAAACAAATTTGAATCTTATTCACAGAAAAATGCTTAAGAATGCATAACTTTCTAATTTAACACAAAATGTTTACTGTTGTATACATAAGTTAAGGTAGTTTGTCAGCCAAGCAAGGTATACATTGATCTTGCCAAATCAAAATGCATGTTGAATATCATTGTAACACTGGATATTTGGTGTAGGTCTGTGTGTCGGAAGTATGAATGTGTTCAGTACGACTTGGAGAGAGCAGAGGACAACTTGTCATACAAGGCCAGTCAGAAGGATTTGTTGGTGAGTTTTGCACTATAATGTACAGAATAATCTGATATTCCTTGATAACACAATCATGACATAGAACAACAATGTTCAGTCTTGTCTTTAATGATAATCACAAGTATGGTAGGCTTGACTGAGTCCTGGTACATGTAAAAGTAAGTCAAGTTGGGAGTAATTGTTAAAGTTTCAAGTAGATGGTGGGAGAAAACATGATCCCTGTTGTAGACTTGTGTAGGTCTGATGTGTGAACTAACAGTTTCCTCGGTCCTGCAGGTGCAAGGTAAGGCAGCAGGCAGTTTCTCATTGAGTGGGATGAAGACGAAGCTGTTTGGCAGCGATACTCCAGAACAGAGAGATGTGAAGATCAAACAGCTGGAGGAGCAGATAGTCCAGGCTGAGGTGGAGCTGAGACAAACACAGGAGGAAACGCAGTATGTAATGCCACATCTGGATTAATAGATACATGGTCCAAGGGAGACAACTGTACACCATAACTGTTAAATTGTCTCCACTTTGACCAAACCTCATCTCAGTGAATATTGATCAGAAGACATGAAGAGCTGATTTTTAAGAGGAATGATTGACTACTTCAAAAATTGATATTTGCTTCATATTACTTTTACATTCAAAAGAAAAAGGGTTAAAAGTGATGCTTCTCTTTTTTTCCAGGAAGTTTGTTGAGGCAGCACTGAGAGATATTGACAGATTTAAGAGACAGAAGGTGAAGGATCTAAAGGAAATCTTCACTAATTACGCTATAATGCAGATAAAACAATGTAAAAAGGTAAGCCTCGAAGACACAAATATTTAGACTTAATAATGTCAGCATTTGATATAAGGTATTGTATAATGTACGTAGAAAACTACCCAAGCTAGAATTGATCTTTAACAACCTATGCTTCGGATAGCAGGCAACTAAGAGGATTGGTTGGTGGTCAGGCTTGCTAACATTGTAAATGTCATTGTATCACATTTGCATATGATGTCAATAACTGATTACTTAGTCCACAGTCATAAAGCTGGAATATTAAACATTCATTCACTTACTTTCAGGGTATTGCAATATGGACAAGTGCCAAGGATTGTTTCGGCAAGATGTGATGTTGTTATAACCAATCAAACACTGTCTGCATTCCTGCTGTGTTGTGTTCCTGACATTGTGCATCACACCTTCCTCCAGGACAAGACACCCGTCTGTCTCACGGACTCATCCCACCACTCTGCAAACTTCATCAGGTCCTCACAACAATCTTGAAAATAGCCACGTCATTGCTATTTTACCAAATATTGAATATGTCATGTCTGTTTACTTTTGAATCATGCAGTAGAAAAAAATCATGTTTGACAATTCATATTCAGCGATCAGAATTGATATTCTTTTACATCATTCTTTTAGAGACATTATGACCAAGATTCACTGATTTAGGAATTAATTTGATTCAGTGATTTTACCTGAGGTGCTAATAATTGGACATGTTGAATTGAACATGCATTTACCTGTGTTACGCAGCAATGTGAGAATTTTATATTCCTGGTCTAAGTTTACACAATGAATGTTACTGTCCTTGAAACTGCTCAACAGTTAATCATTGAAGATGCTTTTAAGTCTTTAAGTCTTTGTTGATTTTGAGACATATGAATACAGATCTATAATAATGAATTTTCAAGAATTAAGTTTCATCAGTGAAAAATTCAAATCTGTTTCTAAATAATATATTAATGTGAGAAAAAAAGGGTATAAATATTGAATGAATATATTCTTGTGTTTAAAAATCAGTAATTTTGCCATCTTCTCATAAATCCAAAATTTGAATGATCAATCACACCATTCACCAGACACCAATGTTCAAACTGATTGAACCATAAACTAGTCAAGTTGACCAGAGACTCTCCAGCGATGGTGTACCAGAGGTCACCAGCCAGAATGTTATGGGCTGTGTACACCTATTGTTCTCTGTAGGAGAAAAGATTCAATTCAGTTCACATGTATGTTCATTGAAAATGGAAAGTAAGTTGGAATACATGTAATGAATTATTACAAGTCTTCTGAAAATGTTATGTATCACAGGGTTTAGAGGCATCAAACCTATCAAAACCTAATGTTGTAATGGTAGGAAGAGGTGTATGTGTAATAACATTATCATTTGTTCACACACTCATACTTCTGACAAAATTCTCTGTTCCTCACAATGTCTAGATGTTAGCCTTATTTATTCAACATAACAATGTTGAATATGACTGTGATAGAACTATTGCTGTAATTGTAAATATAATTCTGAACAACATATTGAAAGATTTCATTGCTCGGTATTGATTTATCCGTCATTTTATAGCATAGAGAGACACTTTCTTTTCTTCATTCGTATATCCTCCATGTAAATATATGCAATGATTGTGATTAGTTATAAAGTATTTGGGTAGGTAACAGTCACATTAAAGTTAGATGATTTACTCCAGTACAATATCTCACTGTATGAAGGTCTCATCAATTCATGTGGACTTTCTGATCTTCTAATAGTGCCAATGTTTCGTCACATTATGCACAAAGCATACTTATCAGCATATCCGATTTCTGTATCTTGAAAGTGAACGTAAAGGATAAGTTCAAAATGGAAATAACAAAGGCTGTACATTATATTGTTAAGGATGTTTTATACATTCTAATTGCTAGTTCAAAAACATGAACCTAAATTGTTTGATAAAACTGACAGGTGATTGATACAAGAATCTTGAAATCTTCAATTATGATTTGGCAGTGTGAGTTTGAACAGGATTCACACAACCATGGAGGGTTGCCACAACTTCATTTGTATTGTATCTGTCAAAATGATCTGATTTCAATGATATTGAAACAAATGACAGTTTCCTGTGGCAATTTAGGACATCCCTCTGAAATACAGGCCAAATGGTAGGTGCATTTGCCACATATTTAAAGTATCAAACTGAATTGTTTTCTCTGCTGCAGTATTATCCGATACAGACATACCACGGTAATCCCCAAGGAACCATATCTAGTCAAGACAAATTTGTGGTTGACAGTGTGATCAAATATCAAACCACTGAATTCTGTAACATTATCTGGTGAGTCACACTTTATCACAACCTTATTACCATTCTAGAAAGTGCTCACAAAAGCATCACAAAATGTCAATCTCTTTAAAATCAGACCTTTTTACTTTGGGCATTAAAAATCTGTGGGCATTTCCATAAAAGGTCGTGTCAAGAGACCTTCTTATTAGCCAATCAGCAATAAGACGTCTGAATTCATGTTACAAATAAGCGAAAGATTCAGACAAGTGTATCAATTTTTTGTATCTCTAAAATGAACATAAATCGAGGAATCTCGTGCAAAAATAATGTGTGCTGGATATAATGGATACCATACACATGTCGTTTGAAAGCACTGCAACATCTGTACACACAATAAGGTTACTATTTGATGGTATATTTGTGTTTGGCAGTGGTGTTCTTTGGGAAAGAAATCAAAACTAGAATAAGGCAGTGACAAAATAACATATTAGAAAGCTGACACCTGATTGGCTCAAGAACCCACGCAACCCTCTATGGTTGTATCACTCACGGTAAAGATGTAAATTTTGATGGGATTGGGTGAAATCAGAACCTGTTCTGTGAATACAGTTGGTAATTTAAACATCATACTTTTATTCTGTACAGATAACAACTGCATAAGAGCTTGTCACCATGGTAGTACATAGTCCTGTTCACCACGGAAATAATGAGCACAAGAAATATATAATGTGATACATTATATATATAGAATGTCGCTCAAATCAAAATGTCATTCTAGTACCTGAAGCTGTTGATTTTGCTATTAGCATAAATATATGCTGCCAAGTGTAGATGCAGTGTAGCACTTAGATGAATTTGTAGGAGAGAAGTTTGTTAATTCATTTCACCTCTGTATGTTTCTTTGAAGTGTTCATTATTATTTTTTCTTTAATTTATTTATCATAGAGGAATAGATGTTTAAAAAATGTAATGAAATACTCAAAACTCTAAGAATGGCCCCTTCCGTTGTTCCAAGATAACTGTGCAATATGAAGTGTCACAAGCGTACGTACATGTTAGGTAATTAACAAATAATCTAAAGCTGACTGTTGCATGATGGTTGTCTACTGTCCAGTGTCCGTCCACGTGTCCTGCTAGTTTGTAAATCCTAAAAAATATTTCACAAAATGGTTAATATCCTGCTTCAGTAACTCTGAACACATCAGGATAGGTGACTGGCCACCAGTTTACCCAAGCTATGACTTGATGCCAGTTAGTTATCTCACACAACTGTTCAGCATGCAGCCCCTTGAGACTTGAACCCAGATTGTGATGAGTTTACCCACAGGCTCCCTGGCTCAATACACCATGATTCAAACTGCCCAAATATAACAGAAATAGCTGCCCACTATCCAAGCTCTTTTCCATTCTCAGTATTCCTTATCAGACTCTCTTCATCCAATGTACATGATTCCACATTTTCCCTTTCCATGCATTGATCATGTTGCTAGCAGCTGATGAATATTTTGTTGTCATTGTCACAAACCAAAGTATGATGATTCGTGTTTTCAAAAAGTGACTACGTTTGTGTAAGTGGAAGCTTGGCACACTCATGAATTAACCATGACATTCACGTTCAGCTGTATATATTCATGTGAGATGTTGATTGTTCACCTGTTTGCATGATACAAGCACCCCAGCTTCTGACCATGCAGCAGAGACTGGTTTTATCACTGAAACACCCCTCAACCTTGTCCATTTGCTTCATGTTAATGCCAAGTTAGATACAATAGACAGATCCCAGTCAGACAAGCATCGCTTAATAACATGACTCCTCTGTGTAAATAACTGTTACACCTGGATGCTTTACATGCATGTTTGTACCACTGGTGTCAGCTTTATCAATACACAATGGTGTTGTCCCACTGGTCTTGTCATATTGGTGATTCAGGCACAGCCCCTTGATTTCAGCTTCAGTAACAGATGTATACTACCCAAACAAGTTAAGGAGCACACACAACTTGAAGGTTGTATTACCCACTGGCATTGACAGGTTACCAGCAATATAAGCACATGTGTGTTCTTTACCTTCTTGAAGCAGTATACATTGGAGACTTTGGCTTCTGCGCCAATCTGTTTTACTATGACAAACTAAGTCATACATATTTGCTGCTAATATTTGAATAAGGCACTGTATTGGTAAAATGATAGCATGGATAATGTGTAAATCTTGAAGTATGTTTGGGAAACATGAAAAAGTATTTCTTTAGACCTTGTCAGAAGACTCAGTTGATAGGAAAAGAAGCACTGATATTTTATGACACTTGTTTTGATTTTATTACTCTCACATGGAGTATTTTTATATGTATAGGATTAGGTTTATTTATTTGTTATGTGTGATGTACACTTGTTTGTAAAGAGTAATTACAACTATAATTAGAGTGTATGATTTGCTATGTTTGTCACTGTAATAAATCTGTTGTTGTGTTTCATCAGTTGTTTTTCCTCCTAAAGGTTATCCAAATACCACTAAAGCAAGGCACTACAATTGGGGTTGTGAGTTGTGAGTAGGGTTGTATTCTATTTTAAAGTCATATCTGGTGTATAAACACTGAGAAAATATATCTCCCTTGGGTATCAAATGACACACATGTCCATTCATCTGAGAACAGCTGGGAGTTACCAACACACAGTAAGAAACCTCAGAAGACATTTTAAGAACAGCTGACCATGATGGCTTGTTTGTTCAGGGGAACTTCTTGTAGAGGATCAACACTACCCTTTCAATTAAGACATTCAGCTGAGTTTTCTGCTGAACAAGTAAAACCACAATCGACTGTGGTACTCCATCTCCAGATCAAGAAAAGGGCACACCAGTGGAAGTAAAACCTGTCTCTCCTTTTGAAAAGGTGAAACCACTAACCACTCTGCTACCCCACACCTCCCAATCACTACCAGAATACCAGTGGGAGTAGAACCAGATGCTTCTGCTGGACAAGTGAACATACTTACCACTGTGCTACCCCACACCTCCCAATCAATACAAGAACACCAGTGGGGGTAGAACCAGATCCTTCTCCTGGAAAAGTGAACATACATCCACTGTGCTACCCCACACCTCCCAATCACTACCAGAACACCAGTGGGAGTAGAACCAGATGCTTCTGCTGGACAAGTGAACATACTTACCACTGTGCTACCCCACACCTCCCAATCAATACCAGAACACCAGTGGGAGTAGAACCAGATCCTTCTGCTGGGGTAAGTGAACGTACATCCACTGTGCTATCTCCCCATCAAGAACAGGACACATCAGTGGAAATCATAGGCTTATTTATTGACAATGGTCATTTGTTGTAATACATCCTGCAGCTACTGCTAATGTTACAACTATATAAATATGTAAAATAACTCAGATCATCGTATGCAAATTCATAGAGCACAAGAAGGAAGTTCTGAATCAATGCCCTTCAATCATAATTCTAGCAGTAATTTCCTATGTAATACCACTGATTAACAAAGTTGCCTGATAACAGTTTTAACCTTGCAGTAAAGAATAAAGGCTTCTGATAATCATTTTTACAGTGTCATGTATATTGTTCTATTTTAGCATTATTTTCAGGTAAGGATCCATTTTCATTATCTAACATTTTAAAGTAATAATCAGGACAAGGAAACAATAATAACAAGCAATCAATAAAAAAATACAATCAAGTTGTTTTTCCACCACCTCATAAATAATATATTTTCATGATCTCATTACTTGGTACATATACCTTATCAGATTCAAAAAGTACATTAATATACTCAACAAAAAATATGAATGCTTAGTATGCATATAAAATCGGTGTGGTAAAGTGCAATAAGAATGCTTGATGACTTCTAACCCTTGCCCCTTAATGCCATACCCAAACACTGTTACCTGCGTCAACTATATACCTTTGAAGACTAATGCTGTTCTTCAGTGCCAAATGGTGTCTATATTCTGTTTAAATTGTACATATTCCATGCATTAAGCAAGCAGTACTTGTCTGAACGTTTTCAAGAGGGGCTTCTGAGAGGCTATTGTATTCTACCGTTCTCTGAGTACTGCATTGCAGTAGAGTGCTTGTATGTGGACTATGGGAAATAAAACATGGTACAACTGGTAAAATCAGTAGATATTCTTAATAATATGCTAAACAATGAATACTCTCTTATTTGAACAGTGTTGTAGTTTTGACCAAATATATATCGTGCCTTGGTATTCTTATCTCTTATTTGTTACAATGTATATTCTTTCTAAAACATTTCCTAAAACATTTCCGCTGAGATTCAGATATTGGCAGCTTCATGAATGGTTTATGTCATTCATGAAATTGAATAAATCAGTCGGCTGCTGGCTTACCGATCATGTTGTGTACATTTACATCAATGGCAGAAATATCATCAGGAATACTCTTCACCTTCACTGCCATCATAGACTAATGCTTAGTCTCTGAATATATATAATTTTGATAATAACAAACAAGCCCATTTAAATTGAAAAGGAGCCCTAGAAGGGCCATTGAAAAGGAACCATCGGTAGAAGGACCAGACTTGAATTTACAGACCGCCGAACCTGAGTGAAACCCTAGAAGGACCAGAAATCCTGAACCTGAGGAAATCTAGACTTGCTTTATTTAGGGCATTAGCACTGCAGAGAGGGCTTGGCAGTAGGGAAAATAATGTGGTTCAGGGACTGTGAGACAGAATACTGCCATCACTGCACAGTGTGTTGTGCTCAGTAAAGGGTAGAGAACTCATGATGATATAAAGGTACTGCAGGATTACAATGGTTAGATGGTAGCAACAGTTTATGGGCCCATGATTTAAGTACCAACCCAGAAAACTAAGTGAGAACCTTGGCAGTTATAGAAACAAAACAGAAATAATATTCTGCCTTTTAGACAAAAACTATTTTTATTTAATTTAACTTAAGAGACTGGTTATCTGCACAGAATACATCAGCAGTAAATAGCATTCAAACAGAAGTGACACATGAAAATATAATATAATGTGGAAGATGGAGAATATCACGTGGTACCATTACCGCTCTGGTACAGACCTTTCTGATTCTCAAACAACTGGCATTACTACTGGGTGGTGGCGGATAAGGATCTGCAAGCTGTTTACAGGACATAGGTTGTGAATATACTGCATTTCTTTCAAATACTTCAGAAACAATTTATGTAAATATAATTCAAAATTTTGAATGCATTTTGTATTTAATCGCAACTTATTAAAGTTGTTATCCATAAAGTTTGTCAATATTGTACTTCCCAACTTCTAAAATGCCACTCAAAGAAGTTAACTGTAGGTGTCAGTTGATATATATATTCATGACATCCTCTTTTATTTCTGTAAGACCTATCTCATCCTACCTACAATGTATCTATCAAGATTTCATCACATCACTGCATGGGAAATACTTGCAAGTCAGCTGTGTTTACCATAGAATAAAAGCTGCACACATGTACATAGTCTCAGTGTATAAGTGACAAAGGCTAAAGACATATTATCATCGCCCTATATGTGAATATAAAGGTATAAACTTATGATAACAGTCTGTGACACACTGTTAAGTCTACTCTAAAAATATATTAAACATCATATTTACACTTCATTAAATGACACATTAATAATCACAGTAAATATGCACATATTTAACAGAGTATAACTGGTTTGGATATAGTTCTCATTATATACAGTTATGGCAGGAAAAATAATAACAATGTTTACAGTCTGTGAGCTTGACTGGTGTTTTTGTTTTAGACATGAACAAAAACCTTGGTAAAATTACCAAAAAAGAGTCCCTTAACATCAATATGCAATTTCATTCAATTTCCTTTTTTCCAATGTGAAATATCAATGAAACAGAGTAAATTTCTGTTTACTGAGACACAATTAATTTGTTGTAGTCTGAAAGAGCTACAGTGTGAATAACAGTAAGTCAGCTATTGCGAAAACATATACCAAGGTCAGCATATCTGGTACTTGAATGGTTTGACTTGGCTAAAGTCTGTCAAAATTATCTATCTACCACTGATCATTGTTAGTTTGATCAATATGCTGACTGTTGTCAAAATACAAAACCAATAGTCTCTCTTTAAGTCAAGCCAACAGACCATGTGTACATTCATGGCATGAATAACAAAGATAAATACTGTTATGTAAAAGATTATAGATGTGTAAACATATTGGTATCACAGCTAGCATAAAACTGTCATAATGGACAAACAAATCAGACACAAAATTTCTCCACTCCATTATTATCACAGTTCGTTGGGTAATAAAACTTGATCCATTATAAACTGGTCCATCCCGTGTAGGGACCTTCATAATTTATGGCTAGGGGGGGTGATGATGATTTTTATGGAGAAGCATGTACAATGTGAATGACCCCCCTAAAAGTACAAAATAAGTACCCCCCCTGCATGTCATGTACAAAATCAATGGACCCCCTTCCCATAATTTCCCCCTTCCCATAACGTTTCCCTAGAACGTGTGTACAAAATTGATGACACACCTAGCTCCCCAGAACAAAATGGGTGACCCCCCCTTAAAATCATCATCACCCCCCTAGCCATAAATTATGAATGGTCCCTTAGAGGAATATATAGTGCTCTCAAAAAAGTGCAGATTTGTATTGTTTTGATTATGTTACAAGGGAGGTCATATGGATTATGGAATGTTAGTTTGTGATGTTTTGAAAGCTTCATATGATGTTAATGAAGATATATTTCATGTAACTAGAATCAGATTCATCTGAAATATGACCAAACATAATGACTGAAACAGCTCACAGGGTCACACTTTCCAATCTGTTTCAGGGATTAAGAATACCTTAAATGTTGAATCATACTGTATTTTATGGGTCAAATTATTTTCTAATTGAATATTCTTGATGAAACCAATACCAGTTTGGTAAGAATGGTGATACATTAAACACAAATAACTGCTCATATTTTGCAACTTAAAATTTACAGTGAAGACTGACTGACTGAGTTTGGTTTTACGCCGCTTTTAGCAATATTTCAGCAACATCACGGCGGGGGACACCAGAAATGGGCTTCAAACATTGTACCCATGTGGGGATTCGAACCGGGTCTTTGGCGTGACGAGCCAACGCTTTAACCATTAGGCTATCCCGACCGCCCCTACAGTGAAGACATTTAAATGACTTACTGAGAGAAATCTGTAGCTTAATTGTTGAATTTAACAACTTCTCAAAACTAGTCCTGAACTAAAAGATGCAAATGTTAACTTTCAAGCTTGTAACACATATCATACTATTCTTTTTGTTTGAAAAACATATTATTGACAAAGAGTTTGGCTGTAAGAGAATGATCAATGAACTGATAACATACTATGTTCACAACACATTTATCTTTCTAACAATTTATAAAAATATTGATTTCTTGAAATAACAGTGTATTTGATTTTTATTCAACATAACTGATGATGCATAACTACTTGCCTGTCTACTGACACAAGTCTTGTAATGAGAACAACAGCCCACCTTTGGTTCTTGTTTCCAACATACATGTACAAAAATATGCAAAGATCAACAGTTAACTGGTTCCATGCCCAGTTCAGTAGGTATAAATGCATGTTCAGTTCATATTTACAGGGAATGAATCTGTAGAGATATTTTGATAAATCCTCTTGTCAAGTATATGTCACAGGGCAGAAGCATTCAGCAGAATCACAGTAACTTCAGACAATGGAACATCCAATATGAAAGATGACTTTGAAAATCATTAAAAGTATCTTTGGAAAATCTGAAAAACGAGGGCAACAAAATGGCAAAACCTCAGTACCGGTATGTGTTCTAAATCTGTTCCTTGGTGTTGTGGACGAGGACTGATTTGAGTGTCTCTTCAAGTATTGGGTTTCAAAATGCACTTTACGAGACAAATATTTCAACCTGTGTCAGTAACATACACAAGGAAACAATTATTTAGAAATAAGTAAAGGCATAGAAACATACTCGATATCATTCATGTAAACTGGCCATATCCAGAATATACATTTCTGTGAATGAAGAGTACAACAGGAGATGTGTTTCAAACCATGAAATGATTAGTTGTCTCCCCTTACAAAATGGCCTCACATCACATTTCCGATTAACTTCCCTTACAATCTCCCAATCAAGATCCTGTCAATATTTTGATCACAATCATTTCTCGACTTCCCGTAAAAGCAATAGAAATAATAGGATTTCTGTACAATGCTCAAATCACTCCTGCAGATCTATATCATGAGAATTTGGAGTTACAGCGCTATAATTACCAATATATATAGCACTTATGTAGTATAACATTAAGAGCACTCACCTCAAGTGTACTTTTCCTGCAAAACCAAAAACACATTGACACGATTTCCACAAAGAGATTCCTTCACATTACCGATAAATAGTCTCTGAAGTAGAATTATCTCCCCTCAATTAAGACGCAATTCGAAATGCTTTCTCATTTCTTCACAGCCATTGCTTGAGTTGGACAGATACTTGAGACAGTCAGTGTCACTGAAGATGATATATACAGATCCAATAAGTGTACTTTATACATATATACTGGCAATGGTAAGACACCCGTCAAAACTAAGTCACTTTTGCCAACACGTGTAACACGTCCATTTCAACACATCTTATGGAATGTTGTTCAGTAAATTGTCATCAACCAATATGGAGATTTATTCTTCCTTTGCTTTCCTCTTCTCCTTCATTCTTGTATAACTATCGAGGTTCTGCCGAGCCTGCGTCTCTCAGCTCCTTCCGGCGTTCTCGCTGTGCCTCGGTGATGCTCATGCTGTCGAGGAGTCTGGTCATGTCTCCCCCTGCCAGGATCCAGGGGTGGGACAGGACATCCACTGCGGTGTAGCGCCGCTTCTTGTCCACCACCAGCAGGTGCTGGATCATGTCCTTGGCAGCTGGAAACAGGATGCAATCACCAGAATATATATCTTGCATTCTTTATATACAGTCAAACACCATTGGGTCAAACTTGAAGGGACCTTTGTAAATACTTTAAGTTATTTGAGGTTCAAGACAACTACAAAATGACGACTATAAGCATATACACGGACCAAGCATTTTCTCCAGACAACTATAAGTTCGACACAGTAGTGTTTGAATGTATTATAACGAGGATATTTAGAGTTGAAAACATTATATACACTTTATAAATATTTAAGGAAAATTTGAAGTCAAGTTAAGAAGGGTGAACGTACTAAAGGTAATGACTGCTCTTCATATTTCTCCTCCTAAATGTGTACCTACTCAGATTTTAAAACAGGAAAACTAGGGTATGAATTTTGATTTGGGTTTCAACTGATCTGATAAAAAATTCATTTCACAATGGTGAAGTTCTCTGCAGCAGGATGGATTTCAGTTGTGTGTCTCTTAGGAATGGTGGGGTGTTTGTTGACACTATGGCTTGTCAAGTACATCAAATCTTTTCACTTTGAACTTTAACTTTAGGTTCCTTAGATACATGAAATAATAATAATAAACAAAGCAGAAAAATTAGAAAGGTCTGTGGGTTTGGCAAGGTAGGCAAGGTTGGCAAGGTAGGCAAGGTGTTTTGCCAAATTTTCATGAAGTTTAAGTCGATGTACAGAGATTGGAAGTTTGAAGCTTTTCACTCACCATCCGATATGTAATCCCAATAGGGAGAGAGGAACTCATATACCCCGGACTTGATGAACTCAAACAGTTCTGTCTGGTTGCGATCGGGACTACGGAATGGAGGGAAGCCACAGAGAAGGATGTAGGAGATGACGCCCACTGCCCACATGTCAACCTCCAGGCCATAACCTGCAGAAACATGGGCTACATCAGCAACTGCAGCTATAGCAACAAGCAACAGCGTCAACAATTTCGATGAAAGCACAAACCACAATTTTTCTTCAAAAGTACTTTGTACTACTAGGTCTACATTGGACAATGACAGAAATATTTCACTTGTATATAAAATGGTAAATGTAATTGGAACAAATATCATTACCAACCATCCACAAAATTCATGATGTTTACCAGTTAATGTTTGGGATGAATATGTATGAATTTTCATAAAAGCTTTTTAAGTGTTACTTCAAAGTAAGTATGATCTCTTGAACATACATTTTTTTCTGTGTTACAACCTAATTTACAATAATTACTTGGGATAACATTACTTAATGGATAACAGCTCCATGTTTTGGGTTTTTTTGCATTTTGCAATGTTTTTATATTGATTCTTGCACTGTTATGAAGCTGAAGAAATGTTGTGGATGCATAAAACAAGAAGTTGTTATCCATAAAGTTGATTTTTCCTTATGTACTCAACATCTTTGGGAACACCAATCAAACAATAAACAATAATCACATCTGCTGATACTGAGCCAAGTTAAAGTGCATGTCCTCAATAGACATACTTATTTACATACGAGTGCGGAAGGTCGCGGGTTCGATCCCCGACCGCGTCATACCAAAAGACATTAAAATATGGTACTGGTCGGCTCTGAGTCAGTATAATGTGTCTGAGTGGGGTATTCATGCTTCACGGTATCTCAATGGGTTAGCACTATAAAACCAGCTTCAGTCTGGTCTAGTACCAGCAGCCGCACATACACATACACACGCATGCATGTCGTCATATGAGCGAAATATTCTCAAGCACGACGTTAAACCCAATTCCACCACCACTTATTTACATACACATATACTTATCTGCATACTTATTCACCTTATTATTGACATACCTATTCACAAACATATTCACATAGTCATTTACAAACAATTTCAAAGACCAATTACTCAAATTCTATTCACATATTCAAATATATGTTCACCTACATATTCAGACATCTTTTACATACATGATAACATACCAGTACTTATTTCCCAGGACTATTCACGTACCTATCTCCGACAGTATTTCTGGAGCTACATATGTTGGCGTCCCACACACTGTGTAGATCAGTTCCTTCACATCCATCGCCAGACCAAAGTCAGCCAGTTTTAACGTAATCGTACTGTCCTTGTTTCTATGCACCTGCAGGAATTCGCATATATTTGACAGCACAACAAGGAAATCTGTTATTAACATCAGAGACCATATCTTATACGGTCTTTGTTAACATCAATTACTACAGAATGATTCTTCAAGACTTCAGCATACCATATATAATATTCAGAGGTTTACTTTACACAGAGATGGCAACAGGAATATCTATTTTCAGCTGAAAATGTAATATTGTGTCATCGAGTTGAGGTTTCTCAATGGATTTAGATGATTCACAATTGAACAATTTGAAATAAAATCAGCGAAATCTCTGCGGATCAGCGGAAAATTGCCATCCCTGTTCACAGGAAATGCATCAGAACCTAAACTCATTATTAAGAATCAATAGTAACTTGAGTAAAATATCACTCTGTCTATGACAGGTTTTCCTGTTAACTTAACTACAGCTTGCATGAAATGTGACAACCATCAAAGATAACACTTTGATTTATACACATTACCTGTAGCCTACATCAAGATTATAGAGTCGATCTCACCACGACAGACAGAAACAATCACAGAACATTCCATTGGAAACAGACATCTCACATGTCACACTTTCATTCCTTGATCAACTCACCAGCAAATTCTCTGGTTTGAGGTCACGGTGAACGATGTTGCGAGAATGGAGGTAGAAGAGTGCATGACAGAGATCCTTCACCATGTTGGCAGAGTCTACCTCCCCAAACTTGACACTCTGGGTGATGGCATCAAACAAATCACCACCCTTAAAAAAGACGTAATGGTTAACACGTCATACATTCTCATTGTCTCAGCTGAGTAAAAGTAAAGATGCATAACAGTTCAGTTGCAATGGATCCATATTAACTCAATGTCTTGATTTGTTCATTCACGATTCTTGTAGTAATGCTAATAATCCATATAACTTTTAGAATTTTCAAAATTCTCCAGAATAAAAAGTGGTCTGATTTTGCATATTACTGAAACTATGACAACATACAAAAAGGGGAAATGATTGTAATGTCAACTTTATGGAATGTGATTAACTACATTTTTAAATGAGACAGCAGCCCCCAGGAGAAGACCATACACTTTCTACTATGGCCAAGAGACACTGACAAAACAAAGATTTTATGTGACAAATTTACAGCATATAGAATTACATCTACATATTGGAATGAATGACTTCAGGTGTGCTTCAAATATAACCAATGTTGGGAGTTACGTTTTGGTGCCTTATACACCAATGGCATTAAAACCAGATAGGATAGGACACCTCTCTGTATGAAGATCTGTGGACATTTCCATAGGAGGTTGAACTTTTGGTTCAACCAATCAGCATTGAGGTTTCAAATGAGTCATATTGCCATGTTATCACATTGTTGTAGGTATCAAACACAGCCCATTGTTTGGGCTATTAAGGAGGATATAATGGTATTTGCAAAGATGGAAATTTCTTAACTGAAATTAAGCCAATTTATTTCAGAACCCAGGCATTCTTCATTTTGATTAAGTGGACAAAGTTTACACAGCATTTACCTGACATTACCTTCTACAGGGGTGTCCTTCAATATTTGTCCACAGGGTATCACATAAAATGTATATTTTAATGAGATTGCCTTACATACTGATGTAAAAGCATAATGAAAACACCATGTGATAACCTGATCCTATTCCAACTACATACAGGGCTGGATTTAAACACAATCATTAAAAAAGAAACCAACAGTGCCGAACAGGAATGACTGTCTTAGAAATACAACAACTAATAAGATATTTGAACAAGTAGTATCTTCTTCTTGGCACTGTTTGTTTATCCATTGAAATAAAATGTAGGATATAAATTAAAATTTAGAATTAATGTTGGATGTGAATATTAATTAGAATATAAAACACTGATGCATCAAGGCTATCTAAATGCCCACTGGGCACTGACTACACAACAGCATGGTTCCCCTTCGACCAATGGTTGAGTGGACCACCAAGTACTATGTTTCTGATAGTTGCCATAAACTAATGAACTGTAGGAATTTCAAGTTAAGACTGGTTCTCTACAGCCTATGCTCGTCAGAAGAAGAAACAAAATGAACCAAGAAGTGGGTCTCTGTGACAAATTTGAGCCCACACATTCCAAACCAAACTATAATGAAATCCACCCAAGCCTTAACTTACATACTGGTTATATGGTTCAACATAGAGGGGATTTTGAGGAAGATTTGGTCCTTAGCAACCAATAGTGGTCACAAGAAGTGACTAAATGGCTCAGTGACTTAGATGAACATGTGTCATCATACCCTGGCCGCCTGGATTGTTGCTAATACTTGTCCAATCAATCACTGGATTGTCTGATCCAGGCATGATTATCTCCAGAGTGTCGTCACATAGCTGGAATATTGATGAGAATGGTATTAAACAGAGTACCAATCAACCAAATAGAAGAAAAATATGCTGCTATTTATTTTCTAGCTGACCTAGAGTTTCTCGCTCAGATTATTTGCGGCCCACTCCAGTGTTGTACAGTATTACTAGTCCGGGCCTAACAACGCACCCTCTGCACAATGACCAGTCTCAGTGTTCACCAGTATTCAATCAGGAATTACAGTAAACCCATGAAAGCTCTCAGACAAGAATAGGGCAATAAGCTGTACTGCAAATAGACAATGAATAAATAACTACCGATATGGGAACTGGGTGTGGGATATGGTTGTGGTCACAATCATTATGTAGGAGGCTTTGTTATTTAAAACTGATTGTAAATAAGTACCACAGTCACTTGGTTAAAAAGGTTTATCAACTACGATTCCAACATGTTGGTCATATTAAACTGGGGAATATTACGACATTAAATACAAAGAGAAACATAGACCAACAGACAGCTGCAAATAGTACCACATTTACCATATTAAGTGCTGTACTTCAAAAACCACCCACTCACCACCTTTATAATCTTTATGAGTGCAAGAGACCAAAATTTATATGAGAGTTCATAGTTTCTTCTGTATACATTGTATTTCAGAAGCAAAGTAAAGACATGTGATAAAATGTTTCATCTGGGAAGACATGTCTTTAGTTAAGTACACATGGATGGGACTCAACCCAATGGACTGCAAGACTTTGTATTGTATTAACATTTGTTACACCTGATCACTTTCTAAAGTTTTTGTGTACTCAAGGGCAAACATAAACGCCTTGTAACTATTATCAAAATCAATCTTAGTTTCTTCAATGTTTAAACTCATTTCAAAGATGGGAATGAAGCAGAAAAGGTTTTTAACACATGTTTTTTTACATTGATTACAATATTTCTTTTTATGATAATCATATTCTAAAGTTATTTGTGTTTTACCTAGTGTAGGTTATAAACAATGATTGCACTTACAAGCACAATAGTAAACTCAGTTTTCCTTACCATCAACAATATAAATGAAAATAGCAAAACTTGTTGAAAGAAATAGGTAGCTCAGCTAATCCTGCTGAAATGCACTATGGTGCAAATGTCACGTAATCCCAAGGATTTGCAATCATGTTTTGACAGTAAATACATCTGTTGTCATAACACTACTGTAAAACATTGATGAGAAAAAGAATAGAAAGTTCAGTAATAAATGCTGCAACACAGAATAAGCACAAAATAGTCTCAACTGTCATGACTAAACACAAAATATATAATTTCCTATTTTCCATTCAAGCATGCCAATCATGGTCATAACAAATCTGGCTTTCAAGTCCTGTAGGAAATTCCGAATAAAATTAAAGTGCTATTTGAATATGTGTGAGTTTGCATGACTAAGTAGTCAAAGATACCCTTGACTACCCCCTCGGAGCTTTCAATCATGATCACAACACAAGAAATGAATCAAATTCCATGACATGGTCTCGTGCAAAGTGGTACAGTCAGTTCTCTCTCAGGCCCACGGACAAGTTGAATATAATACTTTCTTTGAAAGTAAGTTTATGCCCAAGTGATATGATCGAATGAAAGCTCTCCATTACTGGCTACTACAATTGACACTAGCTACCTAACAACTGATAACATCTCTAATATTCTGACTGAGGGATCAATATAGCAAGTAGTTGTAATGAAAATATGTTCAAAATATACCTGGCTTAAATACTAGTGGTCTTATAACTGTTTTACTCAGCAAAGAAGCAGCTTTCAAGGTTATTTCCATTTGAAATAAGAAAATATGAAAATTTAGAAAATCTTACACATTAATAATGGTGATAATTATTTGAGAGGGAGAATGTATGTGTTTCCTTTTTGAAGAAACAGGTTTTTCTACAATAAGATTAAATGTCAAATAGCAAGAAGTTAATACATGTTAAAATTATTATGAATTAAACAATTACAACATGCATCATTTCATAGAAGTCATAACATTATCACCAATTCATGATTCACTAATAACTCTGTCAGGTTCAAATGTATATTTGCTTATATCTTAAGTTTTATATCTGGCAAGTAACATGAAAGTTAGAACAGATCACATCCTTAACACTACCTTGATATGGCAAATGTGTTTGTGAAGTAATAATTGAATATGTGTAAAAATATCTCTTTTAGGGCCAGGTATCTGAGAAAGCTTGAGGTATCTGTGAGACTCAGTGTTAATAGGTAGAAGATATTTTACAAAAAGTCATAAGAAGACTCTGGCCAAATTTGTGCACCTTACCAATCATGCTGATAAAAATTATACACTTTGATAATATATTTTTAGGCATTTTAAGTGATAGTAATTGCACCCTGCCCTTTGATTTTTATGCCCTGCCCTTTTTTGTTTTGCCCCTGCCCTTTTAGCCTCAATCCCAGTTTTTCCAGCTGTGCTTAATTTTACATCAACCCGTGTGTATTTTCCAGATTTTATTAAGGACGGAGTTCTTTTCCCTTTCTAGGGGAGACATAAAAATTGTTTTGATAATGATTAGAAATTGGCATTTAAACCATGGCGAAGTCAAAGGTGTTTAATTCATGCCTTTACAAATCACAATGCCTACCAAGGAAAGAAATCAAAGGAAAAGAGAAGAAGCGGTGAAGGTTGAAGCAAGGAAGTGTAACCCGATTAATAGATTTCTTAGCTCCCCTTACAGGTATGTGCCTCAAATTTTGTGATTTTTAGGCCGTTGATTTCCCTTTCCATTTCACATGCCTTTCAAATAAAACCTTCATTTATTTTAGACAACGATGTGTGAAATACATGGGATGTAGTTTGATACGTTTGGGGACCGATATTCATGTGACTGTGCTGTTTAGGTGAAATCTGAAACTTCGAAAATGTCCGCCATTTTGAATCCATCAGCAATTTGAAATTGATCTTGAATTATTTTGTTGTTGTCCTGGGAAATGAAATAGTTAAAACAGCTTGCACAACAGCTTAACATGGTAGCCTTGTTTGTAGTGTTTAGTGTTTAGTGTCGATTTAGTCAGTTAATCCAACAAAGAAGAAGGTTTGTGGTCACAAGACTCCATTTGAGACAAAGTGGCAACAAAAAACTGTCCCTGGTCGAGGTACTCAGAAGATGACAAAAGGAGGGAATGATGTTTCGTTCATTATGTTCTAAGTGGAACACCAAGGGCAGAAATGGACTTAATGTCGACCAAACACAGATTGAGTGGAGTCAAGTAAAGGAGCTCGACAGCAGTTCACCCTCCACCATTTAGAAGACTCAAGCCTCAACTTGGAAACTTGAATCCAAACATTGTTCAATTACTGTCCACTCATGCAACTGTGATTGTCAACTTCTGGTTGAGAGAGTGTTCTCAAAAGTGAAACTGATTGTGACAGATCATAGAAACAGACTCAGTGTCCAAAATTGCAACAGACGTCTCATGATTAGCTTGAATGCATCGTCAGACTTGAAGAAAGTTGTGAACAGATACCTAGCAAGAAAAAGAATAGAAGACTGTAAAATTGTTGTTTTGCGTGTTTTGTGAAATTGTAAACAAATGTGATAACAGATTTATGCCTTGAAATGCATTTTTTCCAAATTTTGATCTTAAAATACAAAATGAGAAGAGTACTAAATGAACTTTAGAAATCAAATTATAAGAGCATTTGACTTCATCTACATTTTGTTGTTGTTATTTTTTCAATAATCCTCACCAAAATGCCCTTTTAGATTATGAAGTGCCCTTTTTTTTTTAAGTTACCCTGCCTTTTCTGAATCCTAGGGGGAACACTAGTAATATAACACTAAGAATATAGAGTGAATAAACTGTCTGAACTACCAAAGAACAATTATTTCAAAACTAAGTAAAAAGTGAAGCTTCAGAAATGTTTGTCCTAAGGGGGCAACAAAAAGTGAATTAATTAATACAGACAGATTATATCATAATATGCTTCAATGATGCCGAAAAGGGATATACAATGTATAAGCAATACAAACAAATCTTCACACTTCAAAGCTTAGTATAAAAAACAGACCTTTGTTTGGGACAACTGATTAACCATGCATGAAACAGAATACAAATATAGAACATATTGGCCCATATATCATATCTGTCAATACTGAGAGTATAAGACCCCTTTCATAGGCTATCATGGTAGTATTGTATATATTCCCCACTGTATATTTCCCTCCTTGACGCCAGTGCACTCAGCAGCCCTACAGGGCTGACCAATATTGTATAATGGCATTTGTTGTTGGGAGTGATAGGGTATATTCAATGACGGTGTTTGTTGTTTGAGTGATAAAGTAATATTTCATACTGGTGTAAGCTTTCTGACTGCTATGTTGTACTAAGCCCTCCAAGGCTATAGTTATATTGGCATGTGAGGATTGTTGTCTTGTAATTTGAAACTTGTCAATGTCAGGAACAGATTTAACTGCCGTCAGTTTCAGATAAAGCAAAGGCTTAAACAGAGAAACATTGCCTGTGAAATAACTTCATTTTAATCCCTCAGGTGTAATGAACTGACCTGCTTGTTGGAATCGCATGTTCTATGTACACATAGCACAGTTGAATGAACTGACCTGCTTGTTGGAATCGCATGTTCTATGTACACATAGCACAGTTGTGTTTGGGATCAGTCAGTTATTATGAGTGAAAAATGTCATGATAGTTTCTAAACATTCTATGTCATGACCTTTTACATCAAAACTCTATCAAGTATCACCAAGCTGTTATAGTAATTTATGTACGGTGTTTTAGAGTCCAACAAACTGCCTTGTGCAGTCGTCACCATGAATACTGACATTCATATTTAATGTAACACCAAACATTCCTAACCTAAACATTAAGTCCTCCTCCCTATCCGCCAAGATTTGTTTCACTTTCTTGGTATAAAGTTTAACTCTTTAGGAAGATATCAGTTAATAAGAATCCAAAGTAAATTCAGTCCAAACTAACATATGCTTGTCACAAGAGGTCACCATGAATACTGACATTCATATTTAATGTAACACCAAAATTTACATTGATCATGCTAATTTCATGAACCTCCATGGGGTGGGAGATACCATCAACCTCTGGCTGGATGGTCCCATATTTGATACTTACTCTAACCTATGATGAAATTTGAATGGTGCTCACTACCAGTGTATGAAATAAGCCCAAAACCCAGCCAGACATCAAGGCTGGTCATTTCAAAATGTTACCAGCCCAAAATGGATTTAACCAGACCAGACAATTCAAAGAAAATAACTTAATTTTTAGTTACAATGAATAATTTAATGAACCTGAGACATGTACTAGTATTTACTGCGGAACTCTGCGCATCAATAGGTGTTGCTGTTTTAGCGACAATATATGTCAACGCAGTGCTTTGAGCTTGTGATACGACAGTTCAATGTTCAAATAGTAATTGTCAAGTCAAAATATAACGCTCAATTTGCTAATCTTAAGAAAATCAGATGTATGGAACATGTCACCATTTTTACCAGACCATTGGCTAGGTGTAAATTGAGACCATCAGTCAGAAATCTAGCCCGTCTTGGCAGTCGGACTGTCTCATTTCACACACTGTCACTACAGCATCAAACAACATTAACTCACTCACTGATCAGGCTCAAAGAATAATGATATCATGCAGGATCTTTGGCATGAGTCACAAAACGGACCCGATAAGTTCTGCCTGTGATGGAGTCAACATGAAATGAATTCCTTGCAGTGCATGAATGTGAAAGTTAATCATCCATGAAAGATATCGGATTGCTAAATGAGGGGCATTGATCAGCAACCATCTAGTGCTGCTATAAATATACAGCAGGAAGATGACAGAACCCTACACAAGTACAGTCATAGCAAACATCAAATCTAGCAACAGTTCACAGAGATTCCAGGTTAGAATAGATCCCGAGCAACCTATGCTAGTCGGACAAGACAACAAAATGGACTTGGTGGTCAGACTCAGTGATTCTGATGCTTGTATGTCAACGTACCTTGAAAGCATGGGACATTGATTATAACTTCAATCACTGATATATCAGGTCAAACTTGATTATTCAGAAGCACACCTTTCATTTACTTGGGAGATTGTCCATATATGTAAGATGACATTAATATATAAAATGATCTTTATAACATTTGTCAATACAGATTTAAATGCTGGGAATACTACTGTCCTGTTTTTCAGAGCTTCACAGTTAACGCTGCTGTATATGAGACAAACTAGTACCTGTCTTGAAAGTGCTTTAAAGTAACATGCCTAACAACCACTGTGGACCACATATACAAACACACACAATCTTACCTTAACAAGTTCCATTACCAGATAGAGTTTATCTGGAGTTTCGAACTCCTCATATAGTTTGACAATGTTGTGGTGGTTACAGTCTTTCATAATCTCAATCTCATTCTCCACCATATGTTCTTTACCCTTCAGCTTCGGTTTGTCAATAACCTTCATTGCAAACTCCTGTCCTGAAGATTTCAATTTAGAAGTCCGCACAATAGCAAAATTACCATCTCCTAAAGTCCTGCCAAGGTCATACTTTTCCAACACAGGCTCATCATTGGGAATTAGCCTCTCAGCTTTTGTCCTTCTCACAATCTTTGTCTTCTGTCGTTTCTTCACTGGAGGTTTCTCATTATCTTTGTTATCTTTGTTATCCTTATTATCCTTGTTATTAGTATCCTTATTGTCTTTTGTTTCCTTGTTTTCTTTGTCTTTCACTTTGTCCTTTTCTACAATCTTGTCTTCCTTTTCTTTCTCTTGTTCTGCCTTCTTTTCGTTCCGCTTTTTCTTTTTCTTCTTTTTCTCTTTCTTCCCTTTCACGTTCCTCCTTTTCTGCAGCTGCTTTCCTAGCTCGAGCAGCTTTCTCTGCCTCCTCAAATTCCTTTCTCCTCCGTTCCTTTTCCTCTTCTTCCATCTGCCTCTTCTTCTCTTGATCCTTCCTCCTCCTTGCCTCTAATTTCTCCTTCTCTCGTTCTTTCATCTTCTTGAAGGGATCATCTTGGGCCTTCAGGGGAACAAGCCCACGTTTTCTTCGCTCATCCTCCAACGCCCGTTTCTCAGACTCCAACATCTTCTGCTGTCGCCGTCTGGCTCGCTCCCTTTCATCATAGATACCCTTCCCAAATGCATCTTTCTGCTGTTCCCGAGGAGTCTCTGAAAGGGAATCTCTTGCAGTGTCTTTGGAAGGACTCAGACTGTGTTTGTCTTTATCTCTCCTGTCTCTCCTGCGAACCTCTTCAGGACGACCTCGACCTGTCTGAGTGGCCTCATGGTCTGAATCTCTATTGCTATTGCTTCCTTCACTTGGCTCTCCAAAACCACTGTCCCGTTTGTCTGTGTCTACTTCTCTGTGCACAGGAGCAGCATGTTTCTTCTTTCTTGACCTTTCCCATTCTTTATGAAGATTTTTGGCATGAGGACTACTGTCTGGATACATCTCCTGAAGAATATCTCTCAGATCCTCCTCAACAATGGCTTCATTACCACTTGCCACAAACAAATCATCGTGACGGAAGAAGTCTGAAATACCCTGAACCTCACGTCCCTTTGTCGTGTATAATTTCCGCACCTTGTTATTTTTCCATTTTGGTCCAAATGCTTCAGATATGTCTGCCATTAACTGTTCAAATGATTGAACACTTCTCCGATTGAGTAAGATCTTAACACTATTTCTTGGACGATTTCCATTGCGCACTATTGTGATGACTTTTGGTTTCATAGACACATTTTCCGAAGAAACGTAAGCATTTTTGCTTGCTGTCCCGAAGGCTCCTGGCCAGCGTCTGTTTGGTAAAGAGCCATTGGCTCGGAAGTATCTGCCTGGGTGGAAAGCATTGTTCGTGGCATAACCGCGGTAACGGTATCCTTGAAGCTCTCCAGACATGTCAAGATCACCATGATTGTGAGGACGAGCTGAAAACAAAAAAGGAATATATTTTTAAAAAGTAAAAAGCAATATCTATATGTACCCCATTATCATCAAAACTGGTGAAATAATGAGAAAAACATGTTCTTACGAACTGACCACTAACACAACCAATACCAGTACAATAATCCATTTCTATGTCACACTCAATAATTTATTTATTTCAGAAAATATGGACATTTTGTTTGCCAGGGCCAACATACAAACAAAACAGTTTTTCTCTTGAATGTGAAAAAGACATTGTTTGATTTTGAAACAAGTAACAAAGCCATTGTTGCTCAGATTAAAATTTCCCAACAATTATGGAGCACGTTGCTTTAATCAAAAACTAAAGCCTGAAGTAAACTTTATGTCATAGTGTGTCAGCTCTGCACGAATCAGGATACAGGCAAACATCAAAAACAAAGAAAACATATGCAGTACTGACAGCATTGGTATCTTAATCGAGACATAAAGTATGACCAGAAGTTATTGAAAATTTTAGGAATATGTTTAATTGGATTTCTAGTATAAACTACCTTGACCAGCTATCAAGTGCTTGGTTTCATTCAAGAGAGACAACTCCGTTAATCCTTTTTCATTAGTTTGTGAAGAGTTATCCCCCTTTGTTTACTTGCTAGCAGACGACATTTTCAGTGATCCTCAGTATGGATCATTTAGAGAAGAGGAAGTTGATTTTAGAGTATTATAACAAGGACATCAGATCAGCTAACGTGATTTCAAGTAGAACAGGCATCCCTTTGTCCACTGTTTATGGTGTTTTGAAAAGTATTGTAAATGGATATGGCTTTGAGCACCAGGGAGGCGCAGGTAGGCCTAGAAAATTGACTGTTGGTGACAGGATGCGGCTTGGTATTCTTGTTTCTAAAAACAAACGAAGGAGTTTAGAAAACTTAAGGCTGGATATGATTGATAGAGGAACTGTGGCTGTCTGTGAGGAGACAATTAGAACTGAGCTGCATGGAATGGGTTGGCAGAAAAGTCGAGGAATTCCATCACCAATCATGAAACCTGAACAAAAGGAGCGAAGGTTGAACTGGTACTTACAGCATGGAAATTTTAACTGGGACAATGTGATTTTCTCAGATGAAAGTTCTGTGTGGCTGTTTCCTAATACACTGAAATTCTGGACCAAACAAACTGAAAAACCTTTGTATCAGCGCCCAAAGTACAGTCCAAAATTTTACGTGTGGGGGGGGCATATCTGTGTTAGGGGCAACGCCCCTCTGTGTATTTGAAGGGAATATGAACAGTGAGCGGTACACATATATTCTCGAGGGACATTTCCTTCCATCTGCTCACGTGTTCTATCGAAATGTTTGGATTTTCCAGCAGGACAACGACCCAAAACATCGTTCAAAGCATTCACAGGCCTGGTTTCGGACCCAAAATATGACTTTATTAGATTGGCCAAACTATAGCCCTGACCTAAATCCAATAGAAAATGTTTCGGGATTTATGAAGGAAAGTGACAATAAGAAAAATCTGACAAATATTGCTGAAATGAAAGAAGAGGTGGTCCGATATTGGGACAGCATGGACCATGACTTTCTAACTTCTTTGATCAGACTAGTAGTATGCCCCGCCGCATTGAAGCCTGCATTGCTGCCCATGGTGACTTGACAAAGTATTAACTGTTCACCTGTCTTTGAATCTGGAGTTATGTTCTGCTAATATTCACATTTAATACGTGAGTAATGAGTGAAAACTATATAAAAATTTACAATCTTAAATTCTCAATAATTTCTGGTTGTACTGTATCTGGATTCAAAACCAGTACCAACAGATCCTCTGAGCACCTTAGACCACATGCCCACCAAGTCATTCATGACACAAGCAGCTTTGACTCTTGCAATGGAAATAATTTGTACATTGAGCCAAACATAAGAAGAATATACCTACATATGAATGATAGAATATATTTGTCATAATTGGTGGCTTCTATTGACCAAAAAGAGCCAACAAGTAAAAGAGTTTCCATTGGATTGTGTATGAATAAAGATGCAAATATGAAAGGTCAGCTTTACACACAAACATGGCCTCACTCTTGTCAATCAGAAGTTGAGTCAGATTTGAAGTGGAGAATATTAAGACACTACTTTGATAATTGTTATCAGTATCAAAAAGATACTGAAAATCAGTGTCTGAGTGGGATGCAGCTGAGACATTTTGGGTACCTTGGAAAATATACATTGCAAAACAACTCACCAAGGACACTAGTCTAGCGGAATCAGTTCCCGTATTTGTGCTTTGTGTACCTTTACAGCTATGGGCCTTTTTGGCAAATTTTAAAAATTGGGAATTGGACAAAATATGTCCGAGTTGTCACTTTGTTTCATTTTGTCGCAGTGTGTACTTTTGATTCTGCATTTCATAACATTATGAAAGGCCAGACAAAGTCTAATTGATGTCTCATGGACTAGGGTTGAGTACAATCCCTTTGTCAAAGGACAGTTACTTTAGTGGAGGTGAGGGCTAATGGATTGTCACAAGAGGCAAATAAAAACAATTGTGTAGGCAAATGTTATTCTGCCATAGTTTTGCCACAGCCTAAAAACAAGTTTCATTTGGAGTGAGTGAGTTTGGTTTTACGCCTCTTGTAGCAATATTCCAGCAATATCACAGCAGGGGACACCAGAAATGGGCTTCACACATTGTACCTATGTGGGGAATCGAACCCGAGACTTCAGCATGACGAGCAAACATGTTAACCACTAGGCTGCCCCACCATCTCAGTTTTGTTTGGAACTATATGATCCACTGACACATCACTGACAAGATATATATCCATAAACACATTCCAAACACAATCAACATGCAATATTTATCTACAAGTTTTTAACATCAAAGGTTTTTCAACAAATGACATTTTATGAAGAGTTATATTCAGATGCTAAGTACCATGTATTAGGAACACACATTATGAATTTAGCTTACCAAGGCTTGCTTGATGAAATGTGTATACCTAAACAGGACGTTTACCATATATTCCAAGACACATTCATGAGATAAACTCTATCTACATAATAAATCACATCAACTTAATTATTACCGATGAAAATATTTCAAACATTTACCAAGTTGTACCTCTCCTTCTTCAGAGTGCATCCTTCTTAAGCTTTGTGTTTGTCATTTCTCAACCAGTCTCATAACCAAGTAGAAAGCCAAATTAACTAATATGTAATAACTTTCCTTATATCATGACGAGTTTATACCACATGGTCATCAATGTCCTTGGTTCCTACTGAAACACATGCAGGGGATGTAACTGAGTACATTGCATGTCTGACGAAGATATAGAATGTTTATCTACCAACTGTTGGTTGAGAAGGGTATGTATTTCCGTTTAGGATCATCTGTCAACCTGTCATTGACACATGTCTGGCTCGCCACCATAGCAACGTACAACTGCTATATGTAATATACATTTCACTTTCATTATTGAACACACATACCTCAGGTAAACTGAAACCATCACTTCTACAGACAGATATGGAGTAATGTAAAGAAATCAAGCGATAGAAAACATGAAAAAATATGAACTCATTAGATTATCTTAAATACAGAAATCAAAATTAATCACAGCATTAGATTTCCTTTCCATTATCAATACATGAATATAGTGACAAACATTTAAGTAGCTTGTGGTCAGTAATGTCTAAAGTAATATACCTTATTAACTAATAGTTTCAGTTGATATATTATAGTCACACTCTAAAGAAATATGACTTTTAACAAGTCAAAGTATGGCATTAATGATAAATACATCCTATTAAAACTGTTTCAAAGCATCAGTCGAGGTAATGTGAGGGCAGTTGATGTAAATAATGGTGAGTTAGTATGCTGCCAATAACTTCACACACGATTTCAATGAATTTAATGAAAACAATACTGAATCAAAGTTTGAATAAAATTAATAAAAAAGATTTTTTTTAAACAGTATAAGTCCAGATAGATTAGATGATTCAATTTCAGATTTGTCAACCTGGTATTTCCAGTACGACATGCTCATGTGTATGACTGTGGGGTTGGATAAAAACATCAACATCATTATGCCATTAATAATGCACACCCTGCTTCACACAGCTTTGGGCATATTAAAAAATATGTGCATTATACTCAAGAAAATACAGTACACATTACAGAACACTGAGGCTGAGTAAGGCATGGACTGAATAGATATATGCTATCAAGTTCCTTCATGAGCAGTATGAGATAATGTTCTTCATGATGGTGAGACAAGAAAACATTTCACCTAGACAAGTAAACTATTACAACAAATTAGCGAATTTTAAATGAGTACTATATTATGCATCAAAAGACAAAATCACCAAGTGTTCAGGTGTGAACAAGATTAACCAAGACATTTTGTTCTACAGCAATACAAGCATATCTATCAAGTTGAAACAGAACCAACAACTCAGACAAGAAAATACTAAAGAGATCAGTCTATTTGTGACCCTTCAGTTCTGAACAGTCAACCCTTAACAGTCAACCCTTTCATGATCAGATTTGCATTATGTTGTCCACAAATACCTACTGAGCAGAATCTTCAGTTAGAAAACCTGTGGTCATCCTGGTCGAGATGCTACTAAACCATACATGAGAGAAAAGGGAGTTTTCAAGGCAGGTATATCAAAATGCATCAACTTTAGTTCTAACTCCCATGACCTCAAGGTTCTGTAATTAGTACTACCATGTTGTTTCCACATGAACACTTATTAATCTGGGTGTTATTAGTGACCAGCATGTAAAGATATTGCCATGATAGGTTATTCCCTTTGCCCTTGTTGGTAAGCCAGTATTTATACCTGCAGATTGCATGAAGCCAGATTGGCTCTACACAAACTGAACAGCTTAGTGCTTCATTGTTTCTCCCTACTTTAACACTACAGGTCACATCGAGTGACCATTACTTGGACATATATGTTACAGGGGTGAAGATTAAGATTAAACAGTGAAGGTATGTTACATATGGTCACAGTAA